AATCCTAGCACTCTGGGAGGCCAAGGCGGGCGGATTCTCGAGGTCAGGAGTTCGAGACCAGCCTGAGCAAGAGCGAGACCCGTCTCTACTAAAAATAGAAAGAAATTAATTGGCCAACTAAAAATATTTTAAGAAAAACTTAGCCGGGCGTGGTGGCACATGCCTGTAGTCCTAGCTACTTGGGAGGCTGAGGCAGAAGGATTGCTTGAGACCAGAGGTTGAGGTTGCTGTGAGCTAGGCTGACCCTGTGGCACTCTAGCCTGGGAAACAGAGTGAGACTCTGTCTCAAAAAAAAAAAAAAGAATGTTAAAGCTAAATTGTTATATAGGTGCAGAAATTTTCTGGGATCCTGTCATGGCTTGAGATGAAAAGGAAGACAGTGATCCAAGTGCCAAAGCTACTCCTATGAAGATCACTGGTAAATTCTACAGTGTCATGTCCAATATGGGCAATTCTTCTCTCTCATCTCACCAATTGGTAACATTTAACATAACTTATCATTTCCTCTTTTTTTTTTTTTGAGACAGTCTCGCTGTTGCCTGGGCTAAACTGAGAGCCATGGCTTCAGCCTAGCTCACACCAATGTCAAACTCCTGGGCTCAAGAAATCCTCCTGCCTCGGCCTCCCGGGTAGCTGGGACTACAGGTGCGAGCCACCACACCTGGCTAATTTTTTGTTTCATTTTTAATTGACTGGCTTATTTCTTTCTATTTATAGTAGAGACAGGTCTCGCTCTTGCTCAGGCTGGTCTCGAACTCCTGACCTTGAGCAATCCTCCCACCTCAGCCTCCCAGAGTGCTAGGATTACAGGCATAAGCCACCGCGCTTGGCCCCACTTCCTCATTCTTGAAACTGTAAGGGCCAAGAGAAGTTTCCCCTTTGCTCTCTGAAGATTTCCTGAAAAATCAACTCACAAAAGGCACATTAATTGGAAAAGAGACATACAAATTTTATTAACGTGTACACGGGGGGGGGGAAAAACCACAGAGTGATTACCCCCGCCCAACACAGTTCAGAAGCTTATCTACCATCCTGGCAAAGCAGGTTATGGGAGAGGGAAGAAGAGGAATTCTGTTGAGGGGCAATAAAGGATTACTAGGGAGAATGAATAGATCCGGAACTGAGGTTAATTTGTACATTATCCTGTGAAAGGATTTGTTGAGGTGTGGTTACATTTTTGGTCTTACAGGGAGGGAAAGAAGAAACAATTGTTTATTTGGTGGATCTGGATCTCTGGCAAATAAAGGAACTTCAGTTTCATCTTTGGGAGTGTCATTGAGGGAAGGGAAGTCAGAGAGATCTTGACGCTTCTTCTTCAGTTCAGCATGTCAAAATGCCATATTTTGGGGTAGCAGTTTCTGAGCCCCAACAAAACACTTTCTTCACTTGGCTTCTAGGATCCTACTCTCTCTGATTTTATTTCTCCTTCCTGGCCACTTCTCATATTCTTCTGCTGTATCCATCTCATTTTAACAATCAAATGCTAAAGGATCTAAAGTTCAAACATAGGACTTTTCCTCTTTGTTGCTTGACTTATTTCCTAAGAGATCTTTTAGGCTTTCTTTCATTTTGTTTTGTTTTTTGAAACAGGGTCTTGCTGTGTTGTCCAGGCTCGAGTGCAGCAGCAGCATCATAGCTCATTGCAACCTCAAGCTCCTGGCCTCCAGTGATCCACCTGCCTCAGCCTCCCAAGAAGCTGGAATTATAGGCACATGCCCCCATGCCCAGCTAATTTTTCTATTTTTTGTAGAGATGGGATCTTACTATGTTGCTTAGGCCAGTCTTGAACCTCTAACCTCAAGGGATCCTCTTGCCTTGACCTCCAAAGTGCTAGAAATACAGGTGTGAGCCACCACACCTGGCCCCTAGGAAATCTTATCCAATTTTATGGCTTTAAATATTATATACTATCTCCAATGTATATATTTAGCTCCAACATCTCCCCTGAACTCCAAACTGTTTGGCATCTATTTTAGATATTTGTCTAGTAAACCTCTCAAATTTAACATGTCCCAAAACAAATGCCATTCCATAGTCTGTTTTCAATTCCAAACTGCTCCTCTCCAGATTTATCTCAGTAAATAGCACTCCTATTGCCCAGCTGTTCAGGCTGAACATTTTGGAGTCAATATCTATGCCTCTCTTTTTCTTATATCCCATCTGCAAATCTTGTCAACTCAGCCTTCAATATATAGCACCAAGCCCATCTTATCTTCCCTTCTTCATCATCTCCACTTTAGCCCAAACCATCACCACCATCTCTCTACTTCCATACTTGCCTTTCTATACTCTCTCCAGAGCCTATAGAGTGATCCATTTAAATATAATAAGATGATTACCTCCCTGCTCATTACCTCTGTACTCAAAGTCCTCCCCCACCCTTCTCAGATTAAACTTCAAATCCTTGCCATGAATTACAAGGCCATATGTCTGAACAGGTTTCAGAGTTTTCCTTCTTTTCAAAGATTTATCTCATCATTAAAACTTTAGTAAAATGAAAAATCTACCAGCCATGTTCTCTATATTCATTCTGAAAATAGAGACTTCCCAGACTTCAACCCTCTGGAAGTAATGCTTGAAGTTTTCCTTTGCATTCAATGCCTAAGTCAAATATCCTCTCTTCTGTCAAGCCTTTTCTTTGCCTACTTTCCTTCTACTCCACTCCTAGTCCCAATACCTGCAAAATAAATGGTTCTTTCTGTATCTCCTTAATTTCAAGTTCATATGTACAGATTGAATGGAAACCTGTGGGACTTGTGTCTGCCCTTGCATACTACTGTGGAAGGGACAATAAATCTATTAACTCACATTTTAAAGATATGCATACTGTCATACTTAATCAATTCCAAGACTCACTTTTTTCATATTTTAAAGACTGAAATTGAGATGTGTCTTACAATTGACATATATAGAAAGCATAGTTAATCTGTGTTTTTTTCTTTCTTGGTGCTACATAAAATAATGGTACCTTAAATTGATGTTATTTTACATTTTATTAAATATAAAATATAAATCTTGTGTGTCTATGTTGCTCATTCTTCACTAGCAAACATTTGATACAACATCATTCCATATGACAATTATTTTTGCCACTGCTGGGATTCAAACAATGATACCTCAAAATATGGTGTTCTGGCAGGCTGACAGCTTTGAATTAAAGGAAATTAAAAGGGTCTCAGAAATAATCCTCAAAACCAAGGTCTCTCTCTCTGACCTTCTCCTGCCCTATTCATTGTCTCTTTGATCCTCTTACCTTCCCCAAGCACCAGGAGGTGCTGTCTCTGGAATTTCCTTTTATTTTTTTGAGACAGAGTCTCACTCTGTTGTGGGGACTAGAGTGCCATGGAGTCATCCTAGCTCACAGCAACCTCAAACTCCTGGGCTCAAGCGATCCTCCTGCCTCAGCCTCCCGAGTAGGTGGGACTACAGGCATGCGCCACCATGCCCGGCTAATTTTTTCTATATAGTTTTGGTTGGCCAGTTAATTTGTTTCTATTTTTAGTAGAGATGGGGTCTCACTCTTGCTAAGGCTGGTGTTTTGAACTCCTGACCTTGAGGGATCCTCCCACCTTAGCCTACCAGAGAGCTAGGATTACAGGTGTGAGCCACTGCGCCTGGCCTGGGATTTCCTTATCTGATTGAAGAAACTTATTTCCCAAAGAAATGCAATTGTCTTAAATTCCTTTTCTAGGAATTACATCAAGTAACCAGAAAAAATTAGCCACCAGAGAAGAGAACAGACTAAAAGCAATCACCATGCCCAGATAGACTTTTCATCTCTACTTCCAGGAGCAGCTCCAAGAAATTACCTGGGAGATTGTGTTTGTTTTTATTCTTAAAAAATTGTATTACAGTTCACATTATCTGGGTATCAATTATCATCTTTGTTATCCATACACAATGTTTTCTTTGAAGTAATGTAAATGACAACATTTCAAGTTTTGCTAGCATTAAATACTAATGCCATTATCAGTTGATCTCCCAAGAAGTAGTTATAAATATGCAAATCTAATTTTGCAATGCCAATTTCTAAAATGGATTAAGTATTTGTGCAAAATGCCCATTCTAAGTTTATGTAAAAAAGAGGAGGTGGGTTATGTCCAAAATTCTCTAAATTTATGAAGATATTATTCTCTCTTTTTTTGGTTGCATTTTATATTTTTGCCTCTCCCTAGTTAGGATTAGAGGTATGCCCTTCCCCTCCACAATGCTCACCACATCCCTCAGATGTAGGTCTACCCCGCCAACCCCAGAATCCCTGGTGAACACCACCACCATTTGAGCACCATAGTGTTAATCAGTCAGTACCAATTTGATGGTGAGTACATGTGGAGCCCATTCTTCCGATCTTATCTGCATAATAAGACAATCTTTGCTCACAGTGAAGTTTCATAGGTTGTCCACAAGTATTGTTTGTCCTTTGGTCTCATTCAGCACCCAAAGAAAATCATTTACAAACCACCGTGTGGTTTTGGGGCCCATTCATACCCTCATCTCCCTCTACCCAACAAGGAAGGGTATATAAACATCTGGACCTTATTGGGTTATTGGGTAATCACTCTCCTGTGATTTTCCCCTAGGTATGTTAAGTAAATTTTGTATGCCATTTTCTCCTACTAATCTATTGTTAGTTCATTCCAGCAAATTTCCTTGGGGGAAAGGGAAGTTTTCTCTCTTGGCCCCTACACCACACTAAACTTAAATGTAAATTAAGTGATTTGGGAATGATATTGACTTCCTCAGTTTCAAATTGCGTATTTTACATGTATGAAAGTGCTTGAGGAACTGCAAAGCTATGACACTTAAAGGACCTAAGAACCTACATCAGACAGCTGGCTTAGTGCAGAGAACAAGCCCCACCCATTCCCAGGCCCGCCCCCACTTTACGGGTACAGGTATAGGACTCAAACTACCAGCAGCCAACGCATTCCAAGAGTGCACCCAAGGTCACCTTTCGAGCATGCGTGGGAAATAGCACGCAGGCGCGGCGCGCTCCGCGCATGCTCAGTGCACAGCGGCCTCAGGTCGGGCGGCATCGCTGCTCTAGTGGAGGCGGCAGAGCAGCCACTGCCTGGCATGAAGGGCTGGCGTCTAGCTGCTGCTTACTCCTCGCTCCAGCGCCATGGAATGCCTTCGGAGCTTGCCCTGTGTCCTTCCCCACTCTATGAGACTTCCCCGGCGGACCGTGAGTGTTCTGGCCTTGGACCTGACTGCTGCGGCTCGTCCCGTTGCTGCCTGCGGCCGCGCAGCCGACCTACTCGGAAGGAGCCTGGCAGTGCCGCCGTGCGGGCCCCGCCGGCTCCGTGTGGCAGGTACTGCCCCTCCCCGCAGCCCCAGGACGCCCGTCTTGCAGTGGTGACCTTAGGGCCCCGCCCCAACCGCCGGCCGGCGCGGCTGTGCTTGCCCGCGTCCTCCACAGATCTCGGCCTCCGCGTCGGTCCTGGGGCGCCCGGGCGTCTGGTCGACTTGCACAGGTCCGCGGGCCGGGCTGCGTCCCACCGGCTCGGAACGTGACAGTGCGCTGTGCCCTGCCGGCGTCCGAGCCGCCCGGCCCTGTGTCTTCCCCTCCACAGCCCTTGCTGCAGATTTTGTAACGATAACAGGAACCGTTTATGGTGTTCACGAGGTGCGTTAATTAACACCCACCTAGGTGCTCTTGTGAGATTTTTTTTTTTAAGAGTTTCATCCCTATTCATCATAATACCGTGTTTCCCCGAAAATAAGACAGGGTCCTATATTTATTTTTCCTCAAGAAGACACCGTAGGGCTTATTTTCAGGCGATGTGTTTGTTTTCCTCTCTCTCAAAGCCTCGGCTTGCAGCACGCACAGGATGGCCAACACCTGACAAGGGGAGCCCACCTTGTTGGTGGGGCTGCCCGCACCTTTCCGGTCACCTCTGGGGTAGTAGCTGTCATGACGGGGCAGATGAGAAGGGCTGCTCGTTGTCGTCTTTACAGCCCCGCGAGGAAATGCATGGGTTGTGCAGCCACGCCCATCACTAGGTCTTGTTTTGGGGGTAGGGCTTATATTGTGCAAATGCTTAGAAATCTTGCTAGGGCTTATTTTATGGGTAGTTCTTATTTTCGGGGAAACACGGTAATTACAAGTCAAGATTGGGATGTTTGTTTGTTTGTTTGAGACAGAGTCTCGCTTTGTTGCCCAGGCTAGAGTGAGTGCTGTGGCATCAGCCTAGCTCACAGCAACCTCAAACTCCTGGGCTCAAGCAATCCTGCTGCCTCAGCCTCCTAAGTAGCTGGTACTACAGGCATGTAGTACCATGCTCAGCTCATTTTTTTTTCTATATATTTTTAGTTGGCTAAAAATATATTTCTTTCTTTTTATAGTAGAGACGGGGTCGCACTTGCTTAGGCTGGTTTCAAACTCCAGACCTCGAGCAATCCGCCCACCTTGGCCTCCCAGATTGCTAGGATTACAGGCGTGAGTCACCGCACCCAGCCTGGGATGTTTTTATTAGTATTAATTTTTCTTCTCTGTGTTCTGTTTCTTCACGGACACATTTACACACAGAGGGTGGGGACACACCTAGAAGTGAGACTGAAGACTTTGAGACCACATGGTGAGAGCTGCCTTTGAGAATGAGCTAACTTTATTTTCAAATACAGTACCGTACAAGTAAATAGCTAGAGGGATCAGAGTGGTGGGAAAAAAGGAATCTGAGTTGCTGTTATTTATTCACCAAATGTTGAAGCATGTTGATAAGATTTTAACAAATGTGAGTCCAAATATTTCTCAGAAACAAAAATACATGACTTTATCTGAAAGATAGCATTAGCTTTCAAGTACATTTTCTCAGTTGTGCTCTCAAAAAGCCTCCCAAAGTCACTCCCCATGACCATCTTCTTCCCCACACTTTACCAATTCAGAGAACCTTTCCAAATTGGGTTACATCCTGTGTTCCCTCCTTTGGTAATGCTTCGGAACCCAGTTTCAGCAAGCTGGGGGAACCTTTTAGGACAAGCATTGAAATTCAGAATCTCAATCCTAGTTAAACTCTAGCTTGTGACTGATTACTAAATGCTTTTTACCTTTATCTGTATTACTCTTATAGCAGTACTGTGTGTATTTTATAAAAGGGAAAGAAAAACTTCAGATATTAACAAATTATGTGAATCATTGCATGTATATAACAGTAAAGAATATGATCAGAAATGAGAATTTACACAATCTCTAATCAGCGTGATTACTTCGCAAACATAAAATAGTAACATTTGTCACTAAGTCACTAAATTTACTTGATTATACTTAAGAGCCCACCTGAACTCAGTCTAATCACATGTTTTAAATAGACTAATTTTCAAATAAAGATTTAACTTCCAGTTTGCTGGTGTCCACATTCCAGTTCAGTGGGGTATTTCATAAGTATTAACTATGAAGTATATATGTAGAAAAGAAGTAAAATGTGTAGGTTACATAATTTGTAAGTCTAATAATTATGATATTGGAATGCTGAAAGATCAGGTGGTACTTGGGACCTATGTTTTCTGAAGTATATCTACCAATATAATGTGCATGAAGAACCATTTAAATCATGCAAAAAGGAAGACCAGACATTTTTTTTAAATCTAGAGCACTGTGTCATACATTTGTTCGTGCATCTCTGAGCTCTCAATACTAATTAGGGAAAAGGGTGATTAGGATCCATAAATTAATTCTTTGCCTAAGCCATTTTAAAAATCATTCCCTGCCAAGCCTATGATAATCATATACAAATATTGAAATTAACAAGAGTATTTCTTCTTTTTCCTATAGGCAAAAAGCTCAAAAAGTAGTAAAATACTCTGAAGTCCTCCATGTACTATGGGAGTTGTATCTTAGCTCTGTGTGAAAACCAATTGTATGATTATAAGGAATTCTCTTCTCTTAATTCATTCTTCAGGTAAAATACACCGGTTTAGAACTTCTGATGTCTCTCAAGCCACTTTGGCCAGTGTAGCCCCAGTATTTACTGTGGTAAGTATGATAACTTAACAAAAAGTGCTTCCCATACTTAATTGCATTGGGCTATTGACCAAGATATTACTTAGTTTTATAATGGATCATTATAGTTATGTTGTCTGTGTGTGCCTAGCCAATGACCTCAGTGCCTGCTAGATTTGCTTAACTGTGCTCTTGAAACTTTGCTTAACAACTGTGGAGTTCTCCTTTTAATACTAGAACAGGTCATTCAGACCAGTTTAGTGATTCCTCCTGGAACACTCAAAATTTCCCCCATGAGTATATTTGAAGGCTATTGGCCATAAAGATAATATGCAGAAGCATCTTGAAGGTAGCACAGAGTAGTATTTAAGAGGGCTTGTTGGCAGGAGATGGTAGCTGATGCCTATAATCTCAGCACTTTGGGAGGCCGAAATAGCCTGAGCAACATAGCAAGACCCCAACTCTACAAAACACACACACACACACACAAAAATTTGCCTGGCATGGTGATGCCTGCCTGTCGTCCTTGCTACTCAGGAGGCTGGGGGAGGATTGCTTGAACCCATGAGTTGAGGGCTGCAGTGAGCTGTAAACGCACCACTACACTCCAGCCTGGGTGACAGGCTTTTTTTAAAAAAAGAGCTTTATTAAAAAAAAAAAAGTGCATCCCTTGAAGTATCATGCTCTCTGCAACTTTCTCAGAAATGGTTGAGAAAAGGAATAAAATAACACATACTACACACACATTTTTAAAAGAGAGAGAAATAAGGCCATTGGGGGAAAATGTTAACAAAGGTGAAAGTTCTTTGCAGATGAAATAATTATCTACCAAGAACACTGAAGAAATTCAGTTGATGCTATTTGATATAATGAGTTTAGAAAGTAAGCTGGTTACAAAGTAATCATTTTAAAAATTATAGTTTGTGTCATCTTTTAAAAAAAATTTTAAAGATCCATTAAAGAGAAAATGGTACCGATAAATATTGAGATGCAAAAATACTCAGCATATGTTGCTAAGTTGGAAATGAGGAAGAGACTGCAAAGCAAATGTGTGCAGCATATTTTATAGGAAAGTCTGGAAGGACATTCAATGAAATATTAACATGCTTTTCTCTAAAATTTGTCATTTCTGGTGATTAAAAAGTTTTGCATATCTTTTTTTTTATGAGACAGAGTCTCACTCGGTTGCCTGGGCTAGAGTGCTGTGGTGTCAGCTTAGCTCACAGCAGCCTCAAACTCCTGGGTTCAAGCAGTCCTGCCTCAGCCTCCCAAGTAGCTGAGACTACAGTCATGTGTCACCATGCCCGGCCAATTTTTTCTATATAGTAGAGACGAGATCTTGCTCTTGCTCAGCCTGGTTTTTTGTTGTTGTTGTTGTTGTTGTTTTTTGAGACAGAGTCTCACTGTGTTGCCTGGGCTAGAGTGCTGTGGCGTCAGCCTAGCTTACAGCAACCTCAAACTCTTGGGCTCAAGCGATCCTCCTGCCTCAGCCTCCCAAGTAGCTGGGACTACAGGCATGCGCCACCATGCCTGGCTAATTTTTTCTGTATAATTTTAGTTGGCCAGTTTCTTTCTATTTTTAGTAGAGACGTGGTCTTGCTCTTGCTCAGGCTGGTTTTGAATTCCTGACCTTGAGCAATCTGCCCGCCTCGGCCTCCCAGAATGCTAAGATTACGGCGGCATGAGCCACTGCATCCAGCTAGTTTTGCATATCTTTATTCACATTTTCTGCATTGTATTTATGTATATGTGAAATAAATTTAAGGATAAAACCTAATCTGTATCTTAGTGTGTCTTTCTGCAAATGTGTATTTCATAGTAATTAGTATAGCTCAGCACATAGTGATTTATTAAATATTTGAGAACTTCAGATTTGACTGTATATAAGTATTACAGAAAATTATTCCTCTACTCTCCAGGAAATAAGTGCATTTTCTGTATTGTATCCTCTCTTCAAACTATCAGAAGAGGTTCTATAAATCTTTATTGTTTCTGCAAGGCCTCCCAGAGAGACCTCTTAGCTTCATGTAGATATTTAGATTCATGAGACAGGCCACACTTGATTCTAGTCACTCAGAAGGATAAAGGACAGAAGAATCAGCAGGGCAGTGTCAGGTGTTTCCTCTTCAAAACAAGCCCTTGCAGCCATCCAGGGGCTTCTCTGGCCCCAAGTGGCAACTCAGGTGCAAAACAGATTCTTAAGTGGGTGTGAGATCCACCTTGGCTTAGAATCCCCATGCTCCACAGTGCCAGTATCCTTTGTAACCATGTCAGAGACAGTTTCCAGGGCCTCCATGATGAACATGGCCAACTAGAAGAGCCACCACTCTCAGGAAAGGGCAGAGTTATTGCTTTCCACCTGGTATCTGTAATTCATTCACATTCTTCCTAGTCCAATGCAGTCTACCAGTCAGTGGTCATTTTTACCATAAGCAATGTTTCCACTGTAACACTACTGATACTCTTTTACCAAATTTCTAGGGGAGCCAAGATAGAAAGTTAAAACAAGGTCAGATTTGTCTTAGCAAAGGAAAGGGGATTTTTTTCTAAAACCCTTAATTTATAACTAGATTTAACCTAAAGAAAATCAGTTATGGCTTGTATTTGCATTTCAGTATTTGGGGGATATTACTCATAATATCATAAAGAGCATACTAATTTGAGAGCAAATAATAATTTCTTTTTATTCTCTATCTTCAGACAAAGTTTGACAAAAAGGGAAAGGTTACTTCTTTTGGTGAGTATCTTTATTCCAAATCATTCTTTTTAAACAGTGAATCTGATGGAAATCAGGAAATTGTGTTTTGAATAGAATATTCTTTGTATATATAGGTGTGTTGAAGGAGATCTTTCTTCTGCATTTGTCTGTCAGTCCTAATTGGAACTGGCAATACTCAGACTGTGTGTATTCTCCCAGAATTGCTTTCTTCTGGCAGGAGACACTTCACTCTAACAGAATATTAAAGGAATATTTTGGAGAGCAGATGCTGGTGTAAAGCTAGAGCACAGAGACACACACACACACTCTTTTCCCTTTTGTTTCTCTTGTTAGTTTCTCCTTTTCACTGCCCTCCTCATATTCTTCTGAAGCATGTTTGAGGCAGAATCACATAATAGCACTGATGTTGCAATTGGTGATGAACGACGGGGAGGGACAGGTCACTGGTGGCAATCACGTGGAACTCTGCTACTGGTTGCTCTCTGTGGATAGCTACATTTTAAAGTGAAACTAGGTATTGTTTTACTGTGTGACTTCAGATGTGAGTTTCAGATTTCCACTTCCAGCCACATGATCCTGTTCCTGCTATTGCTAAAATCCTAGTGGAATATTTTGGATATTTTTTGTTTGATACCTCTTTCAAAAGATCGTTCTACATAGAGCTCTGTCACAGGTGTATGCAATTACAGATATTATAGTCAGTATAATCTCTTGACTTTTTTCTCATTTGTTGTAATTCTCAGGTAATAAATTTAGTTTTCAGGTAGAAAAATCTGATGTGATAACTGACTTTGTCATTTTGTATTAGTTAAAAAGCAAAGTAAACCAAATTTATCTTTTCATAGATTTGAAATACTGGAGCTGATGTTGTAGTGAGAAAAAATAGAAAATGCAATTGTGTGTGATTCATATTCAAGAAAGATGACCTATCTCTAGAGCTAGAATTAGATATTATAGGTTCTAATGATGCATAGTTGTGGTTTTTATATTAGGCTGAAAGGACTTATAAATACTGAGAAATTTATGAAGTATACATAAGAGAAGAAAATAATTAGTTTGACCAGATTTAGCCTAAGTATGTTTTTGAGGTAAAAATGAGTATTAAAAAAGACTCATTTTAGCTTTTGTTTCTGGTAGTAATAGAAAATTATCTTGATGGTAGTGTGGAGAGTGCTCAGATATAAAAATCTAAACTCTAATTTACTAGTTTAGACAACTGTTTTTATTTCTTTTATAGAAAAGAAGAAAACTGAGTTATACCAAGAGTTAGGTCTTCAAGCCAGAGATTTAAGATTTCAGCATGTAATGAGTATCACGACCAGAAACAATAGGATTATCATGAGAATGGAGGTAAAGGATTTAATTTTCATCTATGTTTCTCTACTACCATCTTATAAAAGTTACTTCCTATCTCCATCAGTATCCAGGTTAAAAGTAATTTTGGAATACAAATACCTACATGAAACAAAGGATATATTTCATAACTTAATAACTTAATGTTATGAGTAGAACTCATCTTATGTGGATCATATACATATGTTTAGCAGACATAACACTGCTCTGTTTTATGTTGGGAAAGTTTTGACTGTGGTCTTCATTCTCTCAATTTGAACTTAATCTCTAGTTTCAGTAATTATAAGAGAAAGAATCTGAATTTATAATAGATCTATTTCCAATTGTGTGCAGTTATTTGTATCATAAAACCTGAGGTATCTAGAACATATTCTGGTTTTCCAAATAGCTCAGGAATACCCATTAAATTTTATAACCTTAATTTTTATTTTTACAGAAAGCTTTCTAAAATATATTTTCCCATGCCTATTCAGAGCACATGAAATATAATTTGATTTTCCTTAGTAATTCAGAGTTAATACAGATATCAGTTATTTTGGTGGGCTAAAGTTTAGGGTTCAGAAATACATAAGGAGACATACGTCTCAGTGATATTGGACCTACAGGGGGCATGGGACTTGCCCTCTTCAAAAAGTTTTGTCCATTTACCTAGGGTTAATAAAAATAAAAATGAGCCAGGCACTGTGGCATGTGCCTTTATAGTCCTAGCTATTCAGGAGGCTGAGGTGGAAGGATAGCTGTTAAGAGCAGAGGTTAGCCACTGGCCTGAGCAACATAGTGAGACCCCCATCTCTAAAAAAAAAAAAAATAGATAGTAAAAATATTTCATCAAAAATGGACAGAATCTTCTCCAAGTGATTTTCTCCAGAAAACATTTATTCTTGTTATCAGTAGCTAGTATCTTTCAAGATAGTATCTTTTTGACAGACAGGTACGGATAAAGCAAATTTAGCAGTGTTAATTATATAATCTAAATGTTGGGTATATGGTATTCACTGTGCAATCTTTCATCTTTTCTGTATAAAAATTTTTATATTGTTGGAAAATTTAAAAATAGAAAATCATCTCCAATTTCTATATCATTAATAGAGTGGCTAGTTCATATACTTTTAACATAAAAGATGCCTGTCTTTTCTCTTTAGAAAAATTTCTAATTCTATACTCTCCTAAATTAGAGCAGTTAAGACTATAGTTCATCTTTTTAATTTCAGATTAGCTTAGTATGTTTTGATGTTGTTTTAAAAAGGAAGCTTTCTCATTTGATCCAAACTAATTATGATTAAATCTTTTGTAAAAGTCTACTTAATACCTGACTTTTAAGAAGATCTTGTCGTCTTTCTGGTTTTTTTAATGATTACCCTGGAATTCTTAATAAATATGTAATTTGTGTGAATAAATCCAATTCTATTGAAACTGAGCAGCATCAAGACTTATAAGTCTCCTTTCTTTTGGAAAAAAATGCCTTGATTTTTTTTTTTTTTTAAACCAAATGAACGGTGATTTCAGTTAGTCTTAATTCAAAGTTAATAAAGTGTTAAGTCCTATTTTATGAATGTTGTTTTTTCCAGCAGCTCTACAGTTTGCGTGTGTGTGTATACATATCTATTTATATATTTGGGGGGTTTTTGGGTCTTTTTTACAGTATTTGAAAGCTGTGATAACTCCAGAGTGTCTTTTGATATTAGATTATCGTAATTTAAAGTTAGAGCAATGGCTGTTCCGGGAACTCCCTTCACAGTTGTCTGGAGAGGGTCAACTTGTCACATACCCTTTACCTTTTGAGTTTAGAGCTATAGAAGCACTCCTGCAATATTGGGTAAGTCTGTTTTTATTTAGCTTCTTCAGTTTATTCTGGTTTTGAAATGCTATTGAGTAGGAAAAGTTGGTACAAGTTGGTATTGTATCAATGGCACTTTCCCTGACCACATCCTTTCCCCTCAATGAAAATATCTTTAAGGACGCTATATGGAGAAAGTACTTAATTTATATGACCCAATCAAATAGAACTAGAGACTCTAGGTATACACAGAGTCTCTTAAGGGTCACGTTATGGCAGTCAGTGAAGCACATGGCAAGTTGGCTACACTTTACACAGTTTTATAACTGTATTGAGAAGTGATAATTCAAAAGACTGAACATCCTAAATATATAAATTAATATATAAACCAAAAAATTATGAATGCAATCCATTTTATTCTCTAAACTATATACATTATAAAAGTGCTTTGTATGTGATAATGTATTAAATCATTCATCAAATCATTCTTTCATTTGTAGAAACAATTCATTTCAATCCTATGAAGCAAGTAAATGAGGTCTTTGTTTTAGGCCTAGATTGACATAGGAACTACATACAATCCTTCTAATGACTCCTACATTAAATTGATAATGATTAGATGTCAGGGGATCCTGTCAGGCCCTGAACAAGGGTGGTTAACTGCTTTCCTGGACCCCACAAATCTTTCATTATCTTTTCTTCCCATTATTAGTCAGGAAAGCACTGTTCAGGAACTGGCTGCATGCAAGAGTTGGTGCTAGGAGCATACCAACCAGAGTGGAAGGAGGAGAGGAGGGTGGAGTAGAGATGAGGTGGGTGGGGGTTGGGTGATCCTGGTAAGCTTCTCTTTTGTCTGCCTTGCTCTATTGGAGTAGATGGCTACTTTCTCTGCTCAAGTTAATGAGGTAATAGCACCAGCTAGTACCAGTCAATGAAATGGTGAGTAGTGGGAGCCCAGTTGCTAAGCAGGGAAAAAGCAAACGAGGGAAAGAAAAGATGTAAACAGTGGTCAGTGATGGGCTGCATAAGCTGGGTAAGCTTTCAGGACCAGGAGCTCATGCTATTATGGGAAAGCCAAGGCTCTCAATTAGGGAGCAGGAAGGGAAGCAGAAGGGCTGGCCTAGCATGGTCTCCTGAGAGATTGGCCAGGGGATGAATACAGAGGGAGCCGAGGTTGTCTGCTGGCTGGGATAGATGTTCTTCTTGCCATTAAATGAGGGCCCGGGAAGATTTCCTTCTAAAAGAACACTGTACATAAGCAAGGCCAGCCACCCCCCAAAAGGGAAGAGAGAAGTTTTCAAATCAAAGCTTCCCAAACCCACTTGAGGGACCATGATTTACCATGAGTAGATATGCCTCACAAACAACCTGTGACCCTGAGCAGCTGCCCCATCTACTACCTGAGTCCATACCTTGCTAGGCAGAGGGTTTGGTATCTCACATGATGTCTACAGAGACACTGTGACTCTGGACTTGCAGTTCCCAAATTTAAAAAATCTTATCCTCAAAGTTATTGTGCCTCTGAGATAAATAGTATTTGCTGGAATTTATATCATTAATTTTACTGCTTAATTCAGTTAGTATTAAGCTGTTTGCCAATAGTTGTGCAAGTGTTTCACTATTTAACTATTTATAGCTATATCAGTGCATACCTGCACTGATATAGCTATAAATAGTTATATAAATATCAAATCATGCTTTTGTTACTCAGAATAGTAAGTATACTTTTGGCTTTAGACTGATTTGTTTTATTTTTTATTCCAAGTTATGTTTTAGTTTTCAAAAGAGCTTTGTATTAATAGGAATTTTGAACTATATTCTGTTTACAGAGAACATAGAGGGTATTACTTAACCAAGTGTAAAGTTTGTGTTTAACCATGGAATGGTAGATTTATTTTAATCAATCAATCCACCCATTCCTCTCATAATAAATGTCTGTAGGGGGAAGACTTTTATGAGGGTTAATTCCTTATCAACCAAATCTGAGCCTAGTGATGACATTATGCATGGTTCTTTGAACCCAGGAGATACAGTTTTTGAGCATGGAGTGTAGGCATTCCAGTATTGATCATATTCTGAAATGTTACCAGCATGTCTAGCTATTACAGATTTCTGTATTTAATCAGAGGGTTCACTGATTCTAAGTATGCTAAAAAGATTGTTTTGATTCTTATGAAAGGTCATGTTGTTATCTAGATCAGCACCCTTCAGGGAAAACTTAGCATTTTGCAGCCACTGATCCTTGAGACTCTGGAAGCTTTAGTGGATCCCAAACACTCTTCTGTAGACAGAAGCAAACTGCACATCTTACTACAAAATGGCAAAAGGTAAATAAATATGGATGAGGTACCAAGTTGGGAGTTAGAGACAAATATCTTCAAATTCTCTCTCTCTTTTTTTTTTTGTTGTTTGTTTGTTTGTCTGAGTGAGACAGGGTCTCACTCTGTTGCCCAGGCTAGAGTGCCATGGCATTAACCTACCTCACAGCAACCTCAAATTCCTGGGCTTAAAGATCCTCCTGCCTCAGCCTCCCGAGTAGCTGGGACTATAGGCACGCACCATCATGCCCAGCTAATTTCTCCTATATATTTTTAGTTGTCCAGCTAATTTCTTTCTATTTTTAGTGGAGATGGGGTCTCGCTGGTCTTGAACTCCTGAGCTCAAACAATCTGCCTGGCAGAGTGCTAGGATTATAGGCATGAGCCACCACACCCAGCCTCTCTTTAGTCTTAACCGTGAAATGTTTAGCATAAATTCAAACATAAAATTAGTGTGATTATTACCAGTTTTAAAAATACTAATCTTGATAATGCTAATGACATTTTCGACTCTATGATTACACTAAGTGCCTTCATTGCCATATTTGATTTTAATTATTGTTGTGTTTTATAATTTTTAAAGTAGAAAAGTAGCCTACCTGAGAAGGTGATCTAAAAAGGGCACACAATCTAATGTTTATTGAAAAGATATTTTGCATGAAATGCTATGTAAGGCTTTTTTACATATGTGATCTTATCCCATCCTTTCAGCAACCCAGTTCAGTAATTGATATGGTACTCATTTTGAAGGTGAGAAAACTGTGGTTTAAGTAACTTGCCTAAACTTATATAGCTAGTAAATGGCAGATCAAAATTCAAATCCATTTTTCTGTCCTTCCAAAGTTCATGTTGTTCTTTTTCTTTAAAATCATAATGCATTCCAGAATTTAAGAAAAATATCTTAATTTGTATGATAAGATACCCTAAAAAGACACTATTATTATAGTGAAATGTTTTTATAAGTTTATGCTATTGATCATTTCTGTGTAACTGTTCTTACAGTTTATCAGAGTTAGAAACAGATATTAAAATTTTCAAAGAGTCAATTTTGGAGATCTTGGATGAAGAAGAGTTGCTAGAAGAACTCTGTCTGTCAAAATGGAGTGACCCACAAGTCTTGTAAGTGTACAGTCATGCTTTGTCATTTATTTCCTTAGGGTGAATCTTCTGTCTTCCTCAGGATGATTTTTCATGGAGAACATTTTTCTGGAATAGAGAATGTGGGCATTTTTCATCCTCAGATGTTTCACTTTTTCCCTGTGCAGTATTGCATCTAATTCAATTTAATAGTATTGCATCTAATTCAATTTAATGAGCATATATTGTGTTCATGCTGCATACCCAACACCATGCTGGAATGTGATGAATATAAAGATAAACAATTACTATTCTTTATCTTAAAGAATAAGATAACCAAATTGGCATACACTCTACGGAAATAACGTACCTAAGGAGTAGAGTGTGGGAGAGGGAGAGAAATTCACATGGAGGATGGGAAAGATGGAGTGAATACATATGGAAATATTTTATTTTTCTTTATAGAGCAGTTTTAGAAGTTAATACAGACTTCTTTGTAACAAGTTTAGCTTCCACAGTCCACAGATTTTTTTAAAGCACTTTGGAAAATTGGTTCTTTATATTCTAAAGGAAATATTTAGATAAAAAGGACTATGTAATGTTTGGTAGATAACAGATACAGTAGCAGAAATTCTTGTTCACTTTGCTTTAGCCAATCTGTCTCTAATACACTTTATGAAATAAGTACCTTTTACATGGTACTTCATTCCCCCATCTCTTCCTCCCTGGTAGGGTGGGGAGTATAAAGAAAGGGGAACAAAATAACTATAGACATCATTCAAAAACGTTTTTATTTTTACATGGAAATGTCATACATACACCTTGGAAAGGAAATGCTCTTTATGTCAATTTTCAACTTTTGGTTTTGCTTTACCTGATGGTGGTTTGGGATTTGCACTAATCATCAGCATTCACACATCTGGATTTTCCTATAACTGGTAGCAGATATTTGCATGAGAGTCTCTTGCATTGGGGCCATGGGATACAGTGAAGCTAACTAGTTTCTATCCTCTACTTATCTGTGTGATGTGTTCAGGATCAGTTGACATTGCTACTTGTAGATTGGCCTCAGTCACAACAATAGAAAAGACAAGGGCTAGCTTTTCCCCTGGTGGATGAATATTATATACTAATTTAGGAAGTTTTTGGTACTGAATATATGATGCACACATTGGGGGCATGGTAATTATGTTAACTCTTTCAATTGAAGTGAAAAGAGCAGTACTGGGATTGACCATGCGGAAGAGATGGAGTTGCTGTTGGAAAACTACTACCGATTGGCTGAAGATCTTTCCAATGCAGCTCGGGAACTGAGGGTACTGATTGATGATTCACAAAGTATTATTTTCATCAATCTGGACAGGTAAGAAAGCATTATAAAAAATAATAAGTATTTTCTTTATAAAATAATGACGCTTTTAAGGAATGACATTTAGGAAGGAATTAAATATCATCATCTATAACTATGACATGAAAGTATGTGGGTTTTTCTGTTTTTGGAAGAGGAAGGTGTATATTGTGTAATCCATGTGGTCTTTAATAGATGATTTAGGAATTGGCTGTATATGGTATAGTGGGCCCTTTTGATCCGAGTATGTGTTCTTTTCAGCCACCGTAATGTGATGATGAGGTTGAACCTACAGCTGACCATGGGAACTTTTTCTCTTTCACTCTTTGGACTAATGGGAGTTGCTTTTGGAATGAATTTGGAATCTTCTCTTGAAGAGGTGAGAATGTATTACTTCACTAACTCAGGTTATTTTTTTAATGTTTTGAAGATTAATTTTTAATGGTTTTAAAAAATAAAGTCTAATAACCTGTATACTCTCACAACGAAATAAGATATGTAGCTCACAATTCAGACAGTATTGTTATATTATAACCATGTTATAACATAGATATAAATATAGCCTAGGTTACTTTGTTTCCCAAAACATAACTACAAATGGAAAAGGTTTGATAAAAGTGTCACACTGTGAGGCAGTGTTAATGAGGCGTGTTTTTTTTTATTCTTGTCTAGCAATGTACCTGGCAGTTTCCATACTTTATTTGGCTCAATCATTGCAATTCTGTGAAAATAAATATATTGTCCCTACTTTGTCAATGAGGAAACCGAAGTGCAGAAAATTTAAGTAACTTGCCCTCATGCACAAAGCTAGAAAGTAACAGGACATGAACCCAAAGATTTGTACTTTCACTTTGCTCTACTGCCTTTCCATATTAATATAACACTGAGCTCCCAGAGTTTTTCATATCACTGTAGACTTGTGGTACAGGTGTCTCTCAGTATCCACAGGGGACTGGATTGATTCCAGGATCCCTGCAGATACCACAATCCGTGTGTATGCTGAAGTCTGTGATATAAAATGGTGTAATACAGTTAGCCCTCTGTATTCGCAGATGCAGAATCCACTGATACGGAGGGCTGACTGATTGTATTTTCAGAGAATATCTTACTGTAAGATTTCTAGAAAGGAAACTGAGCGTGCATTTGGCATGGATTCTGTGTCCTAATTATGTTAATAGGTCTACTTTCTGATTGTCACCCACATCATCTCTCATCAGGACCACTATAAGCTTTTAAAAAATGGTCTTTAAAATAATGTAAACCTGCTTATTATGTCACTCTTCTGCATACAACTATTCAGTGGCTTTTAATTAGCCTTAAGAATCCAAACTCCTTGGCCTGTGCAGCTTTTCCTGGCCTACTGCCCCTGCATGTCCATCTGGTCCATGCGCTTTTGTCAATTGCTCCCTCGGTGTTCCTTTTCAGATGCGCTGCCTCCTCTGCTCCTCCCCCCATACACATTTTCTTGCCTAGTTAACTCCTCTTTAACTTAGGGGTCCCTTCACTACTTAGACCCCCAACTTGGCCAAGTAAAATTACTCCCTTCTTTGTATTATATGTCCCCAAATCATTCTATACTTCCCCTCTGCCACATTCCTCAAATTTTAATTACTTGTTCAAAGTCTGCAAAAGATCATAAGGTCCATGAGGCAAAGATAATAATAGTCATTTTTAATGCTCTTTATGGTAAAATGTAAATGAAAAATGCAATACATTTGTTATTCATCTCCCAAATGTTTTTAGTGCCTGTTACATATCAAGCACTGCTTTAGTCCCTGCCCTTGTGGAGGTTACATTATAGTGGAGGAGAGAGATAATAAACATATACAGTATGTTAAGTGATAAGTGCCACAAAGAAAAATAAAGCCAGGTAAGAAGATAGGGAATTTTAGGTGGTGTGACAGGCAGCCTTTTAGGCATTGGGCAGTCAAGGAAGGTGGTTCTAAGGAGGTGACATCTGGGTAGAGAAACTTGAATGAAAAGAGAAGGTAGGGAGATCTAGGGGAAGGTGTTCCTAGTGCAGGGAACCACAGATATAGAGACTGAGCAGGAATAATATGAGCTTGTTCATGGAACAGCAAGAAGGCCAGAATGGTTAGAAGAGAATGGGTCAAGTGGAATGGCAGAAAAAGAGGTTACAAAGACTGACAAGTATGAAATGGTATCAATTGTGTAGAGCATGGTAAGGGTTTGGATTTACTTTAAGTGTGATAGGAATCCACTGGAGGTTTGAGTCTGAATTTAGACCATTGGAAAGTTCAGAAGTAACCAGAATATCTTGTGCAACATAGTCCAACCCTTGGCATTCTCAAAAGATAAATCCAAAGACCTGTACAAATTACCCAAATGTTACTACAGGACTTTTGTACAAGTTCCTGTCTTCCAAATCATTTTTAAGAATCCTTTTTATGTACAATCTACAAGCTAACCCCATTTTATACTTAAGCATTTTTCTCTCAATTGCCTATTTTTTCCAAAAAGGAGAGAGAGTTTTTTTTAATTCCTTTCTGGTAGTTTCAATATATGTAATCCTAGGCACAGAGCAACCCATTTGTAACGAAGTACGAGTGGTTGGTAATGAGCTAGGCTTGCTTAGTAGCTGAGTGAATAAGATTCAGATCAGTGCCTCATCAGAATTACAAATGACACATCTTCAGGTGTCCTGAAGAATAATTAAAACTTTCATTAAATCCATGGATGTCAAATGTCTTTATTCTTATGTAGTTATTAATGATTATAATGGTAAGTCTAAGATAGGAAAAATTTTAAATTTGTTATTTTAAGATAACTTCAGACTTGTAGAAAGGTTCCAGAAATAGTCAAAGAATTCCCACATAGCCTTTAACCAGATTCTTCATCAACATTTTGTCACATTTGCTTTATCATCTATGTAGATATACTTTATTTTCTAAACTATTTGAATAAGAGCAAATGTCATGCCCCTTTACCCTGACATGTTTTAGTATGTATTTCCTAAAAACATGGGCATTCTCTTATGTAACTATAGTGCAGTTTTCAAATTGAAACCCTATTTTCCAATCTATAGACTCTATTCAGATTTTGCCACTTGTCTAGTGCTGTTTATCACAAAAAAAATCTTAGATCACGTGTTGCACATAGTTGTCATGTCTCCTTAGTCTCCTTTCATCTAGGGCAGTTCTTCAATCTTTGTCTTTCAAGGCCTTGACATGCACAAAGAATACAAGTCAGTTATTTGACTCTCAGTAATGTTCACTGTTAGATTCTAGGTATGCATTTTGTCAGCATGTTCTTTATAATGAATCCCATTAGGAGACACATGGTGTCCATTTGTCCCATTACTGGCAATACTTGGTTACATTTGGCTAATGTTTTGTCTTCCAATTTTCTCTCCTGTAAAGTTATTCTTTTTCTCTTTGGAATTGAGTATCGTATAAGGAGATACTTTGAGACTATGTAAAAATTCTGTTCTTCATCAAATTTGTACCCTCTAGTTTTAGTATCCACTAAGTAATCCAAAATTAACTCCTGCTTGCATCAAATATTACTATGATGGTTACCAAATGATTTTCTAATTCCATCACATCTACCTTTATTAGTTGACATTGTATTGTAGAGTGTTCCCTTCTCTCCTACTTACTTATTCATTTATATCAGTATGGATTCACGGAGTCTTGTTTTAGTCAATGAGTTATAATCTATTGCTTCTACTACTATTTTGATGCTCAAATCATCACTTTCACACTGGCTTCTGGGTACTTTTCATATGTCCCCATCAGATTTTAGTGCTTTTGTAGCCTTTGGCCCATCCAGATGTTCTAGGCTAGACAAACTATTTCTAGGTGATATAAACAGTGGGGGAGATACAGGGTCCCAAGAGTGAAAGAAGTGAAACACTAGACAAGGCACATACCCTCAGTACTGCAGGGCATGTTCATAGCAGAGGGAGCATTAAATGTCTGACTCTCAGAAGCTTGTCCCTTTCCTGGATTTCTTACAGCTGTGGTCCCCAACCCCCGGGCCATGGCTTGGTACCAGTCCATGGCCTGTGAATAAACGGCTGCCCATCACTGCCTGAGCTCCACATCACCCTCCTGGACCCCTCCCCCACAACAGCCTACCCTACCCCATCCCAGTCCATGGAAAAATTGTCTTCCATGAAACCAGTCCCTGGAACTAAAAAGGTCAGGGACCGCTGTCCTAGCGGTCTCACACTGTGTGCTGTGTGTTTAATTGCACATGGTATTTTAAGCTTGGTTTGCCTCTGACTTAGCTTTGAGATACTCAATTTTATCACATTTGACATTCCCAGACTTTTGGTTTGTAGGGAGCTACATAACCTATCTACAGTGAAGAGCAACAGTAACCTTGTATGCCAAATTGTATTTTAAAAAATATCTTTTCATTTTTTTTTAATAGCTCCTTAGGTAGCTAGCATCTTATTTAAATAAAATTTTTACTTAATTAGGGTCCTCAGTTTGGATACCTGGAATGTGTTCACCATCTAAAAATAACTCATGTTAACACTTCCTAATTTCTTATGTCTAACATCTAACTTTATTTTTAAAAGGAGGCAAATTTCTACACAATAATAAATGACATGAATTTCCATCAGTGATAGCTGATCAATTGTGTAACAGGCTATCTTGGGGGAAGTAAGCTCTCAATCACTGGAGCTAACCAGTCCATGTATGATAACCAACTAATGGCATAGCTGTAGGTCAGATTCCTTTTCTGTGAGATATTAAATTTAAATTCTATAATTCTGTATAATAATGCATTAAATAGAAAGACTGCATTGCAAAAGATTACCATTCTGAAGACAATAGTGAAGAAAACGTTTACCATAAGTCTGAGGTTCCCAAACTTCCTTGATTCATGATTCCTTGGTAATGTCTTGGTAATTTTTTCACAGTATCCCTAGGCCAAAAGTTTCTTTTATTATGTTACAGATTCTTTTATTTCCCTTGAAATTTGAAATATTTGGGGGTGTTGTGGCGCCCAAGACACCTCAGTTCACCCTCTAGGAGCTGTGGCTATAAGCAAAGACCTTAAATTGTGTGTCCTCTATGATTCTGACTATTAAAATTTGTATCCAAAGATTGGAAAGAAACACAAAAGCAGTTATGTTTGCCTTATAGATGATTAAAAATATTTAAAACTTTAAAAATCATGTTTCCCTTCTGATTTATTCTCTGACTCTTGGTCTCCAGGTGCTGATTTTTTTTTTATAAATTTTTTTAAATGTTTATTTTTTGAGACAGTCTCACTCTGTTGCCCAGGCTAGAGTGAGTGCCGTGGCATCAGCCTAGCTCACAGCAACCTCAAACTCCTGTGCTCAGGTGATCCTGCCTCAGACTCCCAAGTAGCTGGGACTACAGGCATGCGCCACCATGCCTAGCTAATTTTTTTGTATATATTTTTAGTTGGCCAATTAATTTATTTTTTTTTTAGTAGAGACGGGGGTCTCGCTCTTCCTCGGGCTGGTTTCGAACTCCTGACCTTGAGTGATCCACCCACCTCAGCCTCCCAGAGTGCTAGGATTACAGGCGTGAGCCACCTGCCCGGCCTCTAGGTGTTGTTGAGGCACTTGTTCCTAGTTCCCTTATAGGAACGTGGAGTGCACATAATATAAGGCTTCGTTTAAACTCTGGGGCAGTAACAATTCAGGGAATTTTATCTCCAAGGAGCCTAGCCTTTTGTGATTGTAATTAACTCTGCTTTCTCTTTTAGGACCATAGAGTGTTTTGGCTGATTACAGGAATTATGTTCATGGGAAGTGGACTCATCTGGAGACGCTTGCTTTCATTCCTTGGACGACAGCTAGAAGCTCCATGGCCTCCCGTGGTAAGAAGGATGTGGCTCAGAGCAGCATTGCAGAAGGGTCATAATCATGGGCTCTAAAGTCAGACAGCCTGGGCTCAAGTTGTCACAGATTCTTTGACCTTTCACAAGTTGGTTAATTTCTCTAAACTTCCCTCATCTGTCAATTAAGTCAGTACTACTGGCTTCATAGGTTTAAATGAGAAATACGTGTAACGCTCTTATTAGCTCAGTTACTAGTAAGTTAATATACTTCTAAAAATAAGATAAAAATATATTTTGTGTAGAACACTGACAAACATTATACAATTAAATAGACGTTAGTAATTCTGGTGTAAGGTTTTATCATAACCAAATTAAAATGTAAGAAAGATTTATATAGTGCTCTAATGAGAAAAGATATAAGTTTACCTCCTTGTTCTTCATTCTTAAAGAAGACACCCCTGGAATAAGTATTTAAGACATTGATACTGCTTATAGTCCTCCATTAAGTAGTTACATATCATTTTACTCTAGCTTTTAAGAAAGACACAAACTAAAATTAATTTTCCTGCTTTATTTAGATGGCCTCTTTACCCAAAAAGACCCTTCTGGGAGGCAGAAGCATGGAATTGAAAAACAGCCTTAGACCAGATGGACTTGGATCAAGCAGGAGTATCCTAACAAACCGTTAGCAACGACCCAGTAGATACTGAATACTTTTTATGGTAGTCACAGGAAACTTCTGATACTATTTCATTATTTTCTTTTAAGATACTTGAAAAAAATCACTGATAATGTCTGATGACAAAAATATTCTGGCAGTCACAATATTAGAGCTTGATTGCATTTCTAGAATTCTGAGTTAAAGCAGCAAAGTGCTTGTTTTGTAAAAGGCCAAAATTCTATTTCCAGACTTTAATTGCTGTTTTTATAGACATGATCTAAGGCACGGAGAGATTAACACAAGAATGGACTGTTGTATAGATTTTATTTATACATATCAAGAAAAGTGCAGTTTTATGCTGAGTGAAGCCTAGGAACTTGATACATAGGTATCTATAGTTCTTCGTTAGTACAGGGAATCATGTCCATGTGAATTTCCTGATCTCAGGTAACTGAAAAGCTAGCACTATATGTATTAACCTTAAAACAAACTCTGGAAGTTTGTGCTTTAAAAATCAATCCTTGACATGACTGTATATTTTTGTATTTGCCCCCTTTTATATATTAGGTGAATCAAAAGAAATGATAATTTAACATCAGCATTATATGGATTCCAGTTCATCAAGATTTCACTTAACTCCTAAAACTATTTTTCTTTGCTTGGCTATAATTAGAGCCTTTGGAAGTAACCAAATGGAAGTACTTCCATTTGATTACTGTTTTATAGCTACTTTGTTCATTTACTGATTTTTAGTGCAGATTTGAGACCAAGCCCTCCAAAAAAGGAAAATGTATATTGCTTAGCTAATCTATATGCTTATACTTCAAAAGTTGACAGATGGGCTTCCTAAAACAAAAGGGTAGATAGAGTTTTGATACCTTTTTGTTTTCACAATCAGAGATTTGTGTAATTATAAGTGTGATGCTGCTCACTTAATATCTTACCTACCTTTTTAATATTTTCTGGAGGTTCAGTACAGTTATGCACTAGGATGTTACAGTTAAACTTGCCACCTAAACTAGCATGCATGGAAAATTCTAGAGTGTCCAGAGCAGCTCTTGCACTACAAGTGTAGTGGGGTAAAGGATAAATATGCCTACCCTGATGTTGAGGAAGTTTAGGTATTCATTTTCCAGCTGGTTTGATGATAGGAATAATAATGTTATTCCAGTAGCTAATCTGAAAGAAACCACATGAAGTTACAAGTAAAGTTTTCTCCACTCACGGTGTGGTTATGAAAAGCCACTGGAGGGAAGCTGGAGAACAGAATGGCATGAAACTGGGCTAGACTTGGAACACAGAGCGGGCCCTGTGATTTGGTTGTTGGAATGTAAATGTACAGCACTGTTGAACATTATGCCTCTGGTGGTTTTCAAGATTATCAAGGTAATAAATACTCCTTAACTGTGACATATGAAGAATTGGAATCCCAGAAAGCAAAATTTGATAACTAAGATCAGGCATAGGATAGAACTTGGGTCATTTTTTCTTATAGTATTACTTAGTTTATGAACATGGATAAAATCATTTTTTTGACTGAATGTCTATTAAAGGGAAAACGATATAACTACCTCATAAGTCTGATAATGGGGATTAACTAGTGGTTTCTAAAATTCTTAGATCAAGTATGATTTAAAAATGTCAGCTAGCTCTGCTTTTATGATTGCAGGATGCTTCTGACATTAAAGTTATTGTAAATAACTTTGTAAAATTATTGTAAAAAAACAACCTATTCCAAAAAAAACATGAAGTTCATTGTTTTTAAATTTTGAACTAAAATAATAGACTGAGCACATTAACTACCATTTGACAGTAAGGTGAGAAAAGACTAAACAGTGGGTTATGTAAGTCAACAGATATATCCCCTGTTGAGGATGTCAGGTATAACAGACTATCTTTGTCTTTGGAAGGCCTGTAAGAAATGTGGGCAGAACAAATGTCATTTTAGGATGCTGTTAACACTAAGCTTTATTCTTTTTTTTTTTTTTTTTTGAGACAGTCTCTCGCTCTTTTGCCCGGGCTAGAGTGCCATGGCGTCAGCCTAGCTCACAGCAACCTCGAACTCCTGGGCTCAAGCAATCCTCCTGCTTCAGCCTCCCGGATAGCTGGGACTACAGGCATGTGCCACCATGCCCAGCTAATTTTTTGGTATATATTTTTAGTTGGCAAAAGGTTTATTCTTCATAAACACAGACTGTGATAAATAGCTACTAGCAAATTTTATATTAAAAAACTATTTATTTTAGTGAGTTATTCTAAGAGTTGTACACAGCTTTATTTTTTGGAATTGAAATATTAAATTTATACTTTGAATTTAGGATTCACTTTCATTACTGTAGTAATACAGAAGTGATCTAATGGATGGTGCATGGAATAGGGAACTCCAGAGATCTGAGTTTTGTTCTCAGGTTCTCTTAAAGTCATTCTAGTCTCTCTTAGGTCTGTGATACAAAGGCATAAAACAATTGAGATTTTGAAACCTTGTTACATATACAGATAGACAGAAAATGCAAGTATGTAAATGTCTTCTGATAATCTTGAAATAAAGATAAATTTGAGTTAAAGTTATGCTCAGATTTGTGTTAATAAGAAATTAAAAGCCTACACAAGGTATTTCCATTTTTAGTTATTAAGCATTTCAGAATCCATGCCTAGAACTATATATTTAATACTTAGAAGAATAAAAATTTAGTCCACCTATTGGGATAATACATTAGATTATCAAATATTAATTTTTTTCCCTGTATGCCAGGTTTTTACATATTTGCTTTTATAAGTTGACCTTTAACAGGTGTGTGATTTGCGTTGCTTTTGACAATGGGGTTAGTATTGCTAAATATCCAGTAAACTTAAAAATTAGCCTTTGGCTTTATAGGTTTTAAGTTTAACCTTCTCTCCCTGGTTCTTGCTATCTGGGATGTTCAGGCATTGAGAAAAACATAAATCCTGAGGTAAATAATGATCATGTTTAAACACAGGCCCTATCATTTTAAAGCACTAAAACATGGACTTTATGGTAATGGCAATATGAAAGTATGCGTCCATCTAATGAAAAAATCCAGTACTGAGAAAAACATACCTTTACTAAAATGCAGTGTCACATATCATCAGCATTTGTTCTACACTTAAACTTCTCAGCTCATAACTGAATACAGCCAAGTAATTCCTGGTCACCTAAAAATAACCTTCCTTTTAATTAAAAATAATTCTTCATATAAGTTGAGCTGCCAATAATTATTACCCAAGTGAAACTAGTGTTGCTGTGTCTTTTTGCTATGCCATTGGGTACATCAACTGTTAGAGCTACTGTCTCTACAAAAGCATTTGAGGACACAGGTGATAAAGTTTTAGTTTTTATATTTGTCCTTCACTATATAAAACATTGAAAAGACTAAATCAGAAGTGATTTGGAAGTGTGATGTTATCCCTCACTCCCCTACTTTTTTCCTCTACTGTTTTCTCACTATTACTGTTAGTGCATGTCTCTGCTCCCAAGAACCCCACCTCTTTTCAGGAGGTACCACAGCTCCACTGGATGTGCCACCTTGTCCACCAGAATGCTCATCTTCGAGATGACCCAGCACACGGAAGGGCGTGGGAAAATGGAGTGAAATCTTTAATCTGAGCCGAGGCTGTAGACGTGAAGTGCCCCAGACAGTCGAGCTCCCAAAGAACTCCTTCCAGCAGCAACAACAACTTGGTTCTGCAGGGGACACAGGACAGACAGAATTCACAATTCGCTTGCAACATCTGTTAAGTTCCTACATACTGTAGTCCAGACATACTGTGAACCAGCAAGGTTAGCAAGTGAGGTGTGACCAGTTTGACCACCCGGTCAAACTGCCTGAGGGTGTTTTGGTCAGAGCAGGTATGACAGTTTCTCACTGATTTTATTTTGAAAACTGATGATATCCAGAAATAATAATGATGGCTACAATGTATTGCGCTTTTACCATTGTTAGATAGCATGCTTAACCCTTTGCTAGTATTCTCTCTTAATGTCCCCATGTCAATTAAAAGGGAAATTCTAAAAACTTAAGAAAACTGAACCAAATAGTAATTTCTTCTCCCTCTCCTATTTATGGAATCACTCATTTACTAAATGTGCCTGCGCTTTGGCTATGACTAAGTCTCCTCTCCATTTCCTGGTCAAATTATGCCCATTTCTAAAATCAAATCTTCCCTTGTTTCTTGCCCTCTCGCTGCCTCGTGAGAGTGTAATCATCTCTCCAGATGCAGCGTGGAGCCCTGAGCGCTGCACAGCCTTCCCTGATCCTCCAGCATAGACTTCCACTGCAGTTGCTGCCTGCCTGCCTTTGGCTCTTGGTCATCATATGTTGACCTGGATGGTCTTGTGGACGGGTTTTATTTTCCCACCTAGACAATATGCACCTAGGGGCCAGGATCATGTCTCAGGTTTCCTTGTCTAACTCTCTGGTGCTCAGTATCACTCTGCTTATGACACAGTCATTAGTTATTGCTCTGCTGAGGCTCACAAGTGACAGAAGGCAGTCCCATGAGAGGTTTCAGACATGGACACAGTGACAGCACTACATAAGTAAATGCTGATTTTAGGGTATACACTCTAAAATCTATGAAGGCTTCCCCAGCCCTTCATCCCACAGTTTATACTTATTGTTCACACTATTTAGCATTCAGTTCTGTACTGATTTCCTTTTATTTAACTTCCCACATGTATAAATCTTATTTCTCAAGAAAAAAAGGACTTTGCCTTCTCTTTGTTTATCTCTCTGAAAGCCTAGGACAGTTCTGTACAATATCATGTCCTAAAATGAAGGAATAAATGGAATCAGTGGTTTAGAGGTATATTTTAAGGTGAACTCTTTAATCTGTATCTAATAAAATTTAAAATGTGTACACTCTGATCTAGCAGTCCCACTACTAAGATTCTCACAGGGATATTTGCACAGTCACATAATGATATAGGTTCAAGAATGCACACTACAGCATTGTCTGTAATAGTAAAAAATAAAGGAGGGGGGCAGAATAACCTAAATGTCTATGAGAATGTGAACTGAAGAAATAAAATATGAGGCATCCAGGTGATAAAATACTATGCAGCCATTAAAAAGAATTGGGTAACTCTATATGTACTTGTGTGGGAGAAGGCAAAATATAGTACATAAAAATGAAACAATGACCAGAAATAATGTATGTGTGTCATATAAAAACTCTGAAAGTCTTAAAGAAAACACAACAAAGTAGTAAAAATGGTTATCCTATCAGGCAAGGGTTGGCAAACATTTTCTGTGACAGGCCAGAAAAAAAACTGCAGGTTTTGTGGGATATCTGTCTCTGAAGCAACCAATCGATTCTGCCGTTATAGCATGATAGCACATAAACAAATCAATGTGGCTGTTTCATAAAACTTACTGGACACTGAAATTTATTTATTTTTAGAAACAGTCTCACTTTGTTGCCCAGGCTAGAGTGAGTGCCGTGGCATCAGCCTAGCCCACAGCAACCTCAAACTCCTGGGCTCAAGCAATCCTACGGTCTCAGCCTCCCGAGTGGCTGGGACTACAGGCATGTGCCACCATGCCCGGATAATTTTTTTCTATATATATTAGTTGGCCAATTAATTAATTTCTCTTTATAGTAGAGACAGGGTCTCGCTCTTGCTCAGGCTGGTTTTGAACTCCTGACCTTGAGCAATCCGCCCCTCCCGGCCTCCCAGAGTACCGAGCCACCACGCCTGGCCTGAAATTTAAATGTTGTATAAATTTCATATGTCACAAAATATTCTGATTTTCTTTTCCAACCATTTAAATATGTAATGACCATTTTTAGCTCATGACCATACAAAAATAGGTGTCAGACTGGAGCTGGCCTGTGGACTGTAGTTTGCCAGTCCCTGGTATAGACAATAAATAAATCAGAAGTAAGCAGGGGAAGTTTCCACCCCCTAAAAAAGTGATGTAATTATGTGTGAATGTTACTTGTGTGTTCTTTTTCAAATAAAAATAAAATTTAAAATAAAAATGTGAGGTCACCAAATCCCAGCTTTAGAACAAACAGACATTAAAGAAGTACGGTCCTTTTACTCACCTTTTCCTTAGACCTCACGGTGACCAGAGAGCTCCCAAACCTTGAGCTTGCCTGTAAGACAGACTCTGTTAATGAGCTTTTGAGAGCATACCATGATATTTTACCAGTTTAAAATAAGGGGAAATGGCATTTTTGGTAGTTTTTCTTTCTTTGGTCTTTCAGGAGATACTTACTTCTGGAGAAATCAATACATATTCAGCCTAAAAAAAATAGAGGAGAAAAGGAGACCATGTTATGTGGTTTTTGTAAACGAATTTTAACTACACCTTTACATTCATATTTCTACATTTCTTGATTAACCTTACAAAGGTGCATGCCCTTTGACCCCAGAAATTCTTATAGGAATATAGCTCAGAAACAATCAGATGTATACAAATGTTTCTGTGACTATTTACCACATCATTAATTATAACACTGATATATCAGATTAAAAAAATCAGGTTACAATATTGTGTACAAAATCATGAATATGATCACAGTTATTAATAAAAATATACACACATAGTGTGATAGTTAAGAGTAGGCTGGCTGGGCGCAGTGGCTCACACCTGTATTCCTAGCACTCTGGGAGGCTAAGGTGGGAGAATCTCTTGATTTCAGGAGTTCGAGACTAGCCTGATCTCTGAACAAGAGCAAGACCCCATCTCTATAAAAAATAGAAAAGTTAGCCAGGCATGGTGGTGTACACTTGTAGTCCCAGCTACTCACTCTGTCTCAAAAAAAAAAAAAAAAAAAAAGAAAATGGGCTTTAGGCTGGAAGTGAGCAGTGGCTTGCACCTGTAATCCCAGAGCTTTGGGAGGCTGAGGCTGAAAGGCCCACTTGAGTCCAGGTGTTCAAGGTTGCAGTGAGCTATCATGACTGTCCTCTAGCTTGGGTGACAGAGCTAGATCCTGTCTTTAAAATGAATGAGTGAATAAATAAAGTATAAATAAATAAATGAATGAGTGAAGGAATAAATAAAGTAGGCTTTAGAATCAGATCTTTGTTCAAGTCCCTGTTCTGCCACTTCCTAGCAGTGTGACCTTGAATAAACTTTCTGACTTTATCTGTAAATGGGTATAATACCAACTTCATAGCTTTGATGTGGATTAAATTGTATACATATTGCTTAGCATGTGCATAGTAAATGCACGATAAATGGTAGTGATAAGATTCATAGAAAAAATACTAGAAGGATCCACTCTAAAGATTAATAGGCATTAGCTCTGCAGAGCAGAATTCTGGGTAGACAATCTTTAAATTTCATCTTTGTACTTTTTTTGTATTCTCTAAAATTTTCACAGTAAACTTTCATTAATTTTACAAAAAATAATTTTTTTTAAAGAGGGTCTCACTCTGTTGCCCAGGCTGGAGTGCAGTGCTGTAGCCATAGCTACATAGCCACTGCAGCCTAAAACTCCTTGGCTCAAGCAATCCTCCCACCTCAGCCTCAAGAGTAGCTAGGACTACAGGCACACACCATTCATGGTCAGCTAATTTTTCTTATTTTTTTATAGAGACGGGAAATCTCACCATGTTGCCCAGGTTGGTCTCAAATTGGCCTCAAGGGATCCTCCATCAGCCTTGGCCTCCCAAAGTGCTAGGGCTCAGGGGTGAACCACTGTAACCAGCCAAAAAATAATTTTTTTGATATCCTACAATGGGTTCATCCGGAAAAAAATAATCTTTAAATTAAACAAATAATGGCCAAATGTTTTAGGTCTAGGAAATGTGACTTGAGGAAACTCACTTTTATTCCTGAGCAAAGGAATAAAGCAATGAAACAAGAAGCAAAAGAATGGAAATTTTTACCAAATGAGGAAAGCATGGTGAAAAAAAAAAAAAAAAGTGGAAGTTTCAGTGAAACTCCAATGGCTGTGGTCTGTCTTCTTTCTTCTGCTGTGGGCGCCTAACAAAGCAGTGGCAGGCTGTGACCAGGGACCAACATAACACCAAGTCCCGTGGGACTTGAGCTCTAGGGGCAAACACTGCAGAACTACAAGAACTGCTGGGGCTTACAAAATATGGACAAATGATTGTGTCCTGACCCAGGACCTCTGAGATCAAGTAAAAATTCCAATAGTTTCACAGTGGGTGAGTTAACGAGGAATCAGCAATTAGAGATCCTTCCCCGTGTGGTGCAGAATTTTGCAGAACACTTTACCTTTTCTTCTGGACATGGAGTTATCCATGATTTGCATTTGCCTGTTATGTCACCAATGGTGGTCTGTGTGCCATTATACACATAAACTCGGCCATCTTCTCCCCCAATCAGTCCAGAGGTTATATCTGAAATCCTCAGTGGGGCTGCCATGATGATTTCATCTGTAAACAATAAAAACCAGCAGAAGGAAGTATCAGACTCCTCACTGTCACCCTTTGCTTGTTCCACTACTGGATCCTAACCCAAGCTCCTGCAAATATCAGTGTCTCCTTTGGATAATGTGCCCTGATTGCATCCTCGCAAAGTCAAAGGCTTTTGTTTCCTCTTTCATCATTCATCAGCAACAATTATCATGGGTGACTCTAAAGTTACCATCTTCAAGAAGTGCAACTCACTGCCGGGCGGGCGCGGTGGCTCAAGCCTGTAATCCTAGCACTCTGGGAGGCCGAGGCGGGCGGATTGCTCGAGGTCAGGAGTTCGAAACCAGCCTGAGCAAGACCTCGTCTCTACTATAAATAGAAAGAAATTAATTGGCCAACTAATATATATATATAAAATTAGCCGGGTGTGGTGGCGCATGCCTGTAGTCCCAGCTACTCGGGAGGCTGAGGCAGAAGGAATGCTTGAGCCCAGGAGTTTGAGGTTGCTGTGAGCTAGGCTGACGCCACAGCACTCATTCTAGCCTGTGCAACAAAGCAAGACTCTGTCTCAAAAAAAAAAAAAAAAAAGTGCAACTCACTTGTACATCCAGCTCTGGTCTTACCTGATTCATAATCTATCTAAAGGTCCTTGGGCCATTGGGCTGTCAATTATAAGGGCAGATACTCTAGCTTATCCAATTAGGGGCCTAATCCACTGGGGCAAAGGGATTCTGTTCTTGGCAAAAGGCCCTGTTCCTTTCTTACCTAAGCCATCATTATCGAGGTCACTCAAGTGCAGAACTCCACCAAATCGCGAGAAGCGGCGGTCTCCACTGAAGGTGCTGAGCAGCTGGGGCTGTGTGTCTGGTGTGAGCGCATACATCCGAGTCCTTCCACCTTGATGCAAGGTCACGGTCAGGAAAGCCATTTTAGACACGTCATCTGAAATGAACCACAGTGCCTGCTGGATCACACCAATGAAGATACAGAACATTGATAGAATCCTATTCTTGCTTTGTGCTTGTGTACCTCAAGCGATGTAGATCACTCAGAATCGTACAGGTTTCGGTGCTGGTCAGCCCTGACAGTTAGGAAGGCACAACTAGCTTGGGTACTAAAACCAAACACTGCAGGAGCTCAATGATTTCCCAACAAATAGGTGTTCCTTCTTCCAGTCTTACCCCCTTCTAATACATCCTCCACACAACCACCGCTTTTTTGGCTATTTTTTTCTATTTTTTTTGTAGAGACAGATCTCGCTCTTGCTTAGCCTGGTCTCAAACTCCTGGCCTCAAGTGATCCTCCCACCTTGTCCTCCCAGAGTGCTAGGATTACAGGCATGAGGCACCATGCCATCTTTTTTCTTACTTCACAAACTGCCTGTGTCACTCCCGACTTATGCGTCTAAATGTCAGTGGACTTCAGATGGAGTCAAAACACTTCACAAGGCCCCAGGCCATCTAACTCCTACTTAGGGGTCCAGTGATATTTCAGGCCACTTTCCCCTTTTCACTCACACTTTGTCCATAATCAACTTAAACCACAGCCCATTATACTTCTGAAATCTGGAACTTTGGACATGATGTGTTCTTCTCCTGGAATAGACACCCCTCACCCACAGCCCTTGCTCCCTCTGTTCACGCCCCTGTCGCTACTCCTGCCCGTCCTTTGGCATTTGGCTCAGGTGTCCCCTCCTCTGAGAAGCCTTTCCCAGCCTCCCTGGTCTAGAGCAGGTGCCACTATCTCGTGCTCCCACATCACGTCCAGTGCCTTCCTAGCACCTGTCGCAGGGCAGCAGCATTTTCTGTTCACATCTGGGTCTCCTGCATCAGGCTGTCAACTGTGTGACAGGCCCATGGTCTTTGTCTTTCTATCCACTGTACCTAGCGTGCAGCTTGATTCTGCCCAAGCACTCTATACATGGTTTTTGAAATGATGGACTTTGAACAAATTCAAAACAAAGCTTGTTAGATTTTTGCTTCTAAATGTAATCATCTGGAACACAGCTTTGATTTCAGAAGTGAGTACCTTCTCCAAAAGACATAATGGCATCTGTGGGTTGGTGGGACTGGTGGTCCTCTGGGTGTGTGCCCTACCTAGTCACCGAGGCACTGTGTTTAGAAAGGCCCGATGCTGGCCGGGCGTGGTGGCTCACGCCTGTAATCCTAGCACTCTGGGAGGCCGAGGTGGGCAGATTGTTCAAGGTCAGGAGTTCGAAACCAGCCTGAGCAAGAGCGAGACTATGCCTCTACTAAAAATAGAAAGAAATTAACTAGCCAACTAAAAAACATAAAGAAAAAATTAGCTGGGCATGGTGGCGCATGCCTATAGTTCCAGCTACTTGGGAGACTGAGGTAGGAGGATCACCTGAGCGCAGGAGTTTGAGGTTGCTGTGAGCTAGGCTGACGCCACGGCATTCCAGCCTGGGCAACAGAGTGAGACTCTGTCTCAAAAAAAAAAAAAAGGCCCAATGCTTGGCTTCATGCTGTCCTGTCACTGACTTGAAATTCTTAACAATCGTTTAACAAGGGGCACCACATTTTGAGACTGGGCCCCACAAATTGGGGGACAAAATACAAGTGAAATACACCTAGAAATGGGAAAAGGCAAACATGGTTGGTGGATCGTATCAGTGTGCGTGACCTACCGTGAGTCGGGGCCCCGACCAGCAGCACCTGCGCCAGCCTCCCGTTCACCATCACGCGGCCACTGGACAGGGAAGCGCCCAGCTTCCCCATGGCCTGTGAAATGCAACAGATCAACACTGTGGAGCCGAGAAGGCTTCCTCGGTAGAGTCCACTCTGCTGGGGACGAAGGGGCTGCCATACCTTGTCTCCAGAAATGGTAAACCAGCTCTGGCAGCTTGGGGGGAAGTAGCCGTACACCCTGCCAAGGCTCTTATTCTCGTCGCGGCTGCGGAACACGTGGCCCAGCCTAGAATGAAGCACACGGATGCCAGGGCGCTGGACTAAGAGCTGGCCAGGTGTTCAGGTCCTAGGAAAGGAAACACACCTGACCCCACAGCCAGGCCTCCCCGCATGCTCTCTGTCCCCGTGATCCTAGGTCTGGAGGTGCGGGGGCCATCGGAGTTACCCCAACATCCAGGCTCTCCAGATGCCAGGCCCACCGTTCTGCCTCCGACTGCGGGCAAACCCAGGGAGGGCCGCTGTTGTGGCTGAACACCGTGCTCCCCCAAATTCCTGTAGTGTCCCAGGGACTGCATTTAGAGATAGGGTCTTTAAAGAGGTGGCCCATTGTGGTGGGCCCTAATCCAATATGACTGGCGTCCTTGTGAAAAGAGATGAGGACGCAGACACACACAATGAGGACACAGGGAGGGTCGGTCGTCTACAAGCCAAGGAGAGAGGCCTCGGAAGAAACTAACCCTGCCCACACCTTGGTCTCGGACTTCCAGCTTCCAGAACTGTGAGAAGATAAATTTCTGTTGTTTAATTAAGCCCCTCAGTCTGTAGTACTTTGGTATGGCAGCCCGAGAAAACCAACATACTGGTCTATTGTGTTTTTTAAACTTCCAAGGAGAGCCTTGCCCCAGAATCTCGGCGTTTCCTCTGAAGGGCGAGAATTCCTCAGCCCCATTCCCCGAGCCCCGCGCTGGGTGGGCTCCCACGGCAGCAGGCTCCGGCCTGCGCTCGCTGCTCCCGGCCCCAGCACCAGCCTCACCTGCTGGCGTTCCTCCAGGTCGGGCTCCCAACCAGCAGCAAGGTTCTGTTGTCCACACCGACGCTGTGGAGGGAGTACCCAAACCAGGCGAAGTCCTCCTCACCGCTCACCGTCCAGTCGGCTGCCTCCACGCTCAGCTTCTCTAAAGAAGGGACCAGTCCCTTTTACTGCAAGTGGCAGGACGACTGGGATGGAAAGAATGAGCCCTTTGTGTAGGCTAATGAGAAATGGGTTTGTTCTGCTGAGTTTCTTCCAGAACTCTTACATGTCCCTGTGCTGATCCAGCACCCTGACGTCAGAACTGGTCCTCACACAGAAGTTTTCTTTTTTTTTTTTTTTGAGACAGAGTCTCACTCTGTTCCCTGGGCTAGAGTGCTGTGGCGTCAGCCTAGCTCACAGCAACCTCAAACTCCTGGGCTTAAGCGATCCTCCTGCCTCAGCCTCCCAAGTAGCTGGGACTACAGGCAATGTGACACCAGGCCTGGCTAATTTTATATATATATATTTTTAGATGTCCAGATAATTTCTTTCTATTTTTAGTAAAGACGGGGTCTCCCTCTTACTCAGGCTGGTCTTGAACTCCTGACCTTGAGTGATCTTCCTGCCTTGGCCTCCCAGAGTGCTAGGATTACAGGCGTGAGCCACCATGCCTGGCCGAGAAGAAGTATTAATGCATTTCCGGAGTTTGCTTCTGTGGAGTGGAGGATGCTATTTTAAAAGGCCCTTCTTGGGACCGTCGAGAGCATCACCAGGTCGTTTTTGGTTCTAAGCTGCCTCTGTATTTCCATTTTATGTGGAGACACTATGGGGATCGACTGTTGGTCTTCTTTGGATCTGGATCTAGAAGCTGGGTCACTGTTTGTATATTCAGTGAATCTATGCATGCCACGTGCCACAGCTCTAACAGTAAGAGACTGTTAGAAAATTTTGGCGAAATGATACGGAATGAGAAAAAAGCAAATAAACCCATAGGCAGGAGAAGTCATCTCAGGGCACAGAGGGTCTCTGCCCATCCCCCATTGGGTGCTACCTTTGTTGCTCCGGCCGGGGTCAGAGTAAAACGCAGCCACCATTCCCTTCTGCTTCCCTCCACCCGGCGCAAAAGGGGAGCCGATCACCAGATCCGGCTCGCTGTCTCCATTCATATCTGCAGCCAAGAGCGTCCAGCCCAAGTTACAGTAGACGGCCTTAAGAGGAAACCAGGAAAGCAGGTTTAACCCAGCCTTGGAGGCAATCAGGACGCAGCAAGTTCTAGATTCCTGCACTTGGCTAAGATGGTAAACATACCTGGCAAGAGATGGTGACGTTAGGGGAAGACGACATTCTTCCTCGTTTGGAACCAAAGTAGACGTACACTGCACCCTAGACAAAAACAGCAGATAGACTATGAGGTTTGGGTGGTGACCCAAGAACCTTAAATAATAGCAAGGCAATGAAATAAATCACCATCATTCCCGATGGCTGGGAGGTTAATGACAGACAGAAACCCATCCTGTGCTTTGCTGCTGGGCTGAAAGGAATTTTTTTTTTAAGCCTGTCACTTCTATCAGACTATGAGAGCACCCAAAGCAGAAACCGTGTCATTTTCATCCTTGCCTCCCCAGGGTCTTGCTCAGCATCTGCCACACATAATGGTGCGGTGAGTTTGCAGAATGACTTACTGAACTCCTCCCCACTTCAAGACCAGTGCAGTTTCTGGCTCTTCCATGGGGCCTTCCCTGCCCCAGCCCATTGTTCCCCTGAACACTAACACTCCACGTGCCATTCATTCACCTGGGGACACACGTGGCACTATTATGCTGTGCTATGAATCACTTCCTCTTACAACTTGCCTGTCTCCATCCCCTTTCGTGCTATAAGCAATTATTTTCCATCCTGAGCCATGTACTAGGTACACAGTGACAAAAAAAGACCAATCTCCGTCCTCCCGCAAAGCTGGCAGGCAGGTAATTACAACAGGGCAGTGTGGAAGGGGCCACAATAGGTGCAGGCACAGGATGCTACATGAGGACAATGTAGCAGTGGCCTCATCCAGGGGTTACATGGCACTTCCTGCAAGAAGTGACATGTCACTCGTAAAGAAAAACAGAAAAGAATAGGCTTTTCAGGAGGAGGAAGCCGTAGGAGCAAAGGTCCTAAAGTGAGACAGCCTGAGGGGTTCAGGGAGTGACAAATCGGTGGCAGGTCTAGGAATGAAGGATGAGGAGGAAGGGGCAGGAGGGGCCTGCAGAGGGGTGTGCGGGCGATGCATGGCCTTTGACCTCACGGTCACACAGGGCGCCTGCATACTTGGGCCCTGCTGCGGTATGAAGTACACGTGGGAAGGGAGCCCCGTGGGCCAGGGCCCGGGACCTCTGCCGCAGTAAGACAGCAGGCAACAGGCGGTTCCGAGCATGAGAGGAAAGGACCCCGGGAAGTCACCTCCTGCCGTGATGACCAGAAGCTACATATTAGCCGGGGTTTCTGTCTCCTGCCACTGGCATTCAGCGTCATGGAGAAGGGAAAAAAAAGCAAAGTACCTGGTGGAACTGGGAAACTGTGAGGCCAAAATAGGCCAGGGAGGCAGGAACAGGTGCCACGAGGGAACCCAAGGTCACGGCAAGGACCCACAAACACTCTGTCTGGCACGCTGGCCGTCTGCCGTGCTCCAGGGGCTCCCCCAGTGCTGGCCTCCCTCAGGGCCCGTCTCCTCCCCATTTCCCCCACCAGCAGCCTTACCTTGTACGTGAGACGCTCGGAGTCCACCGAGGGCGCTCCCACGGCCAGGTCAGGAACGCCGTCCTTGTTAAAGTCCAACACGGCCAAGGCCGAGCCAAACCGACCTGAGGGCTGAAGAGGCACAGGTCACTTCCCCTGGGCTACACCACAGCCTGCAGAAGAGCACTCCTCACTCCCGGGGACAGAGAGGCCTGGGGACCTCTGTCACCCAAAGTCCAGGGCATAAAACCACGGCAACCTGTAACACATCAGTTGGGTAGCTCTGCCCTAAGGATATTTTTGGCATGTCTGTCTGCCTTGAGGGGAAGCGGAGATGCCAGAAAGAAGAGGGTAGATTCTTACGAGTCCTAGGTTTGTAAAAAATAACCTCGTATATACTTCACGCCACCTTAAGCATCAAACTTACCTTTGAAAGCATCTGAAATAACAATCACACAACAGCAGCTAACATTTATTGAGTAGTCAGGATGTTCTAGAGTCACGTTGTTCAAGGTGGTTGCCACTAGCCAAATAATTAACATTAAATAAAATCTAAAACTCAGTTACGATAGCTACATTTCAAATACTCCAAAGCCTGTGCTCAGTGGCTCCCACACTGGACAGCCCAGCTATAAAACATTCGTATCATTGCAGGAAGTCCCACTAGAGGGTGCAGTGTAGACACAGTTCTAAGCACTTTTCATGGATTAAGGTAGGCACTCTTATTATCCCTACTTTTCAGTTTACAGATGGAGAACTCTCTTCAGGTACAATTTTCTTCCAAGGTGGATTTTCGAGATCTTTCTTCTCCTATTGTCTAGAATCAGCCTAGACCTAAAAGCAATAATTAGGTTCTTCAGTTCTTTCACAACTCACGTAACAATGGATAGCTTTTCACATGGTGGAGCTTGCTACAGGACACGCGTGCCCCAGCGCCCACACCCATTAGCCATTATATATTGGCTAACCTCTCCATGCCTGTGTGCAATGGCATCTGTGAGCACTGCCCCTTTCTGCAGGCAGAAACTTGATAAACCAGAGGAGATTGCTTGGGGACACAAAGCACGCTGGGGCAGGGCGGGGACCAATAACCGCTGAGGACCAGTTTGTTTCACCACCAGCTGCACCGTCTGGCCCTCTGCAGGTCGGCCGGTCATTTCCAGGGAGCACAGCAGCTTAAAGCAGACGAGTCCTTGAGACACGGACCCTGATGCTCCATGGCATACACGAGGACACGGAGAGTCACACTGCAGCCTGGGCAGAGGGCAGGATTCCCACTGCCAGCCCATGCCCAAATCCTGCTGCAATCTTCCTGCCATCTTCCAAATTATCGAAGGTCACTGGGGAAGGAGGGCATGGAACCACCTCCTTCCTTGCCCAAGTGCTCTTTGAGAGAGTTCGTCATCCACAGGAAGCAGCTGCCTCCCTTGTTCCCTGCCCGTATGAGCCCAAAGGGTTATACTTTACTTACACAACGGTCTGACGGGAATGGCTTTGTAGAGAGGTAAGAAGCAACCAGATTGGTTTATTTTGGAAATTTCTTGTGGAATGTCAGGAGGCTCCAGAAAATGCTGTCCCTCTGGGACTGTGTGACTTTACACACACACCAGTCAACGTATTTGTACGTGTTGGATTCAGGGCTCCTTTCAGCAGAGCCAACACTAAATCATAAATCATTGTACTTTTTATTTTTATGTATTTTTTTTAATGTATGTTCAGGTGTGCCATATTCTTTTCTTTTCACAGCATTTTTTTTTTTTTTTTGAGGCAGAGTCTCGCTCTGTTGCCCAGTGGCATCAGCCTAGCTCACAGCAACTCCTGGGCTCAAGCGATCCTCCTGCCTCAGCCTCCCAGGTAGCTGGGACTACAGGCATGCGCCACCATGCCAGGCTAATTTTTTCTATTTTTAGTAGAGCTGGGGGTCTCACTCTAGCTCAGGCTGGTCTCAAACTCTTGGTCTTGAACTCCTAACTTGAAGTGATCCTCCTGCCTAGGCCTTCCAGAGTGCTAGGATTACAGGTGTGAGCCACCACGCTTGGCTAATTTTTTCTATTTTTAGTTGCTCAGCTAATTTTATCTACTTTTAGTAGAGATGGGGTCTCGCTCTTGCTCAGGCTGGTCTCGAAGTCCTGACCTCAAGCAATCCTCCCACCTCAGCCTCCTAGAGTGCTAGGATTACAGGTGAGCCACCGTGCCCGGCCCTCTTCACGGCATTAACTTCACAGCGAAAGGTTGAGTGGCTTGCCCAAGACAAGAACCACAATCTGACCCAATGTCTAGATTTCCTTCCCCTGGTGCTTGATACTCACAGCATGCAACACCAGACCAGTGTCCCCAAAAGTCCCTGCACTCATCTGTGACTAATAGCAGGGCTCTGTCTGCCCCTCCTTATTGCTGCTGTAAGGACTAATGTCTATGATGTTTGGAAACCCTTTGGGACCCAGTACTTCCAAGAGGAATTAATGCTCAGACTTTATGAGGAACATTTGTACAGTCACTGTGGATTTTTTTCTGGTGACAAGTACCCACATAAAGCCAAAGAATGAAATCTGAACAAAGTCTAGCCTTTAGTCACTAGCAATGTACTAATGTTGGTTTTTTATTTCTGACAAGTGTACCATAAATATGTAGGATGTTAACATAGGAAAAATGGGTTAAAGGCATATGGGAACTCTTCGCACTGTCTTTACAACTTCTCTGTGACTCTAAAATTTTTAGAAAGTTTTATAAATATAAAGAGGTTTGTATTATCAAGAAATCATACTCCATTTGGCCTCTCGAAGCAGTTCTAAATAGCATGCATGTTTTTGGAAGGCATTAGGCTACACACTCAAAGTTAATGAGATAAATGACGTGAACAGAATTTGAAGAATAAAAAGTGCTACATGCATATAGGCCACCAGCTGTTTGTCATGATGAATATTCTTGTTATTGATTATTCATCCTGGAGAATTTGCCACAAAATGCAAGCAGTGGCTTACTAACCACCGAAAGAGAAAACATGACATGGTGTCTCACCTGGAAGCCCTCGAGGATCCTGTGGGCCTCCTTGTCTAGGTCCAAGTCGACGGGGGGCAGGCCCAGGTCATTGCCGTAGATGAGGTACACACGCCCAACCTGGACGTGGCCCGGGCGGCTGTAGCCTGGTGCGCCCACCACAAGGTCACCATGCCCATCCTGGTTGAGGTCAGCCGAGGCCATTGACCTTAGTGAAGAGAAGAGACCCATCGCAATGCCACTGAACACTAGGGTTAAGACTGTCTCCTGTTTCTTTCCTTTCTAGAATCCAGTGCTTTAACTTTCTCTCACTGATTTTTCCATCTGTCACGACTGTTGTGAATATGCATGTCTGAGGTTGTACTGTTTGTGATTCAGTCTCCTCTCCAAGAGGAAAAACAAAACAAAAATGAACAAATCAAAGCCTCTGAGCATTTCTGGATCATATAACCTGAGCAGATGAAAAGTATGCACACAAAGCACCATGTCTCAGATGCGACACCCAGGGTAGCTGGAGCACAATCCAGGGCTCGCCCTGAGAACAGAGAGGAAGTTCACATCCAGCCAAGCCGCCCCAGCCAATGGCACAGGCCGCTTTCAGATCTGCTCAACCCATTTCGACCTGTTACCTGATCAAAGACTAGCTTGTGTTAAATAGACTATTTCGACCTCAGCTACAGAGGTGCCTGCCACTGGGCCAACAGAAGTGTCCAGCACATTTAGTGGATGTGCCTAAATGCAATTCCATGACCTACCAGTTATAGTGCTGGCCGAGCTGAGTCAAAGGTTCAAATGTCACTACTGGGGCTAGAAAGACCTATTTTTTTTTTTTTTTTTGAGACAGAGTCTCGCTTTGTTGCCCAGGCTAGAGTGAATGCCGTGGCATCAGCCCAGCTCACAGCAACCTCAAACTCCTGAGCTCAAGCAATCCTACTGCCTCAGCCTCCTGAGTAGCTGGGACTACAGGCATACACCACCATGCCCGGCTAATTTTTTGTATATATATCAGTTGGCCAATTAATTTCTTTCTCTATTTGTGGTAGAGACGGGGTCTCGCTCTTGCTCAGGCTGGTTTCGAACTCCTGAGGTCGAGCAATCCACCCGCCTCGGCCTCCCAGAGTGCTAGGATTACAGGTGTGAGCCACCACGCCCGGCCTTGGAAAGACCTCTTACTGCCAGGTAAAGAACAAATGGCAGAACAGAGGAAAACAGCAAGAGGAGTTTCTCAAGGCTGTGAGCCCAGTGGAGCTGCTGCTGTTCTCTGCACTCCCCAGGCTGATGCTGGCCAGTTACGGCCCCCAGGGAAGGCCCTGTGGACGCTGGCTGTGTGTGGCCACCAAGCCTGCAGGAAGCTGTCTTTTGGATCCTGCAGGAAGGTGGTCCAGAAGAGTCATTATTCACAAATGAATGGCCAGTAAAGCCAGCATTCATCTCCCAATCTCCTGTGCTAACGAACACAGCAGTGGCCCCCAAAGGAAGAGCTGTCGAGAAATTGTTCAGAGCAAGTGCAATGCCACTTGGACTTAAAGAGTGTGGTTTTAAAAAAAAAAAAAAAAGAAAGAAAAAAAAAAAAAAGCTTTCGCCAAAAAAGTCAGTTGGGCCAGAAAAGTCAGTTGGGCCCAGTTTTGGTTGAATTTTAAAATCAGAGGAATTCCGAACATTATCTTTATAAAATTAGCATGGTGCACCAGGCTTTTACTATATGAAGTTACAGTACTCTAATCACTATAACAGCTATCTGCTTATATCTTTCTAATGTCATTAGATTGCAAAAATAAAAATGTAATAACTCCAAGAATATCAGAGCTTTAAAAATATTCTGAATAGGCCGGGCGCTGTGGCTCACGCCTGTAATCCTAGCTCTTGGGAGGCCGAGGCGGGCGGATTGCTCAAGGTCAGGAGTTCAAAACCAGCCTGAGCAAGAGCGAGACCCCGTCTCTACTATAAATAGAAAGAATTTAATTGGCCAACTGATATATATATAAAAAATTAGCCGGGCATGGTGGCGCATGCCTGTAGTCCCAGCTACTCGGGAGGCTGAGGCAGAAGGATCACTCAAGCCCAGGAGTTTGAGGTTGCTGTGAGCTAGGCTGACGCCACGGCACTCACTCTAGCCTGGACAACAAAGTGAGACTCTGTCTCAAAAAAAAAAAAAAAAAAAAATATTCTGAATATTTAGTCTATAAATAATCACAACTTTATTGTGATTATTTAGTAAAGTGAAAGCTCTTTGTATTTAAATATATTTGACCAACTTTAAGATGATCTTTTCATCTTTACAATAATTTAACCACTAAATCAATGCTTTTGTTGATGATGAACTGATTTGAAAATAAGGTGCTAATAAATATGATTTTTAAAAGTTGCTGAATGACTGAATAAAATAAATACTGATGAAAACATCCACAAGTCAGATAAACTTATACGTACCACCCAAGCCGTGCATAGGGAAATGACAAGAAGTAAGACGCTGAGGGATTGGAGACATGCTTCCGTGAATCCTGAGAGCCACCTGTAAACATTGTCCTTAAGTTCTTTTCCAAAGCCTCGTACATAAAGGATATGGAATCCTGAAATAAAAAGCTTATTATAGACAGAGAAAGACACATAGTATAATCAACAAAACTACTGTTTCCTGTCAAAAGTATTGGACTTGTGTGGCAGAAAAGAGTTTTTACAAGTGCTAAAAAAAAATAAAACATCGATTCTTATCAGTAAATAAGACCCCTTAGGACAGGCAACTGTACAGTGAAATTGTACCCCCAACTTTCACTGGAAGATGGCAGAGTCCTAGCCTGAGAGGCTGGGGCTGGCATGAAGAGAAAGGGTTAGCTAGGGCTTATCCAAAACCAACTAAGTCAGGATGGTCTACACTAATCTGTAGAATCTAATGGAACACAGTAACGTTTATGGACTAAAATTTTTTAAAAGACAAATCCATTTAATCTACAATTATAATTTTATTTGTGTATAGATCTTTTTCCCCCCAAACAAATAAACTGGAACACCACCAGAATGCCAAAGACACCCTCAAAACCACACCCACATTAAGATGCTACTGTGTTTGCTGCCAGGCAGGCATGACAGGTCACATGCAGAGTGCTGAGAGCTATACGCTAGAGCAGGCGTCCTCAAACTACGGCCCGCGGGCCATATGCAGGTGTTTTTGCCTATTTGTTTTTTTACTTCAAAGTAAGATATGTGCAGTGTGCATAGGGATTTGTCCATAGTTTTTTTTAAACTATAGTCCGGCCCTCCAGTGGTCTGAGGGACAGTGAACTGGCCCCCTGTTTAAAAAGTTTGAGGACCCCTGCGCTAGAGAACCTGGGAGACAACAAGATCCTCAGCCTGGGACGCTGAATTTTTCCTAATGCGGTTACTGCGGAGACATAAATGCAGACCAGAGTGGCCCTGAGCAAGCTGGCCAGGCACTAGATTCATCCAAGTTAAGGGGATACAATTCTAAATTCTCCCATGGGTGGGGGACATGAAACCGAACACTACTTCCCAGGCCTGTTCCAGAACAGAGCGGAATTGTCCCAGAGCCACGAGGCAGCCCAGACAGCCCAGCTGTGGAGAAGCACAGGGTACAGCACTCCTGCAGGTGGGACCATGACTTCTGCTTTGCCCACTCTAACCCCACTAGCAGGCTGCACACAGACTGCTCATCCTAATGCCCAGCTCTGAGCTGCTCATTCATCCAGGAAGCATTTAATAGCTCCTATTGTATGCCAGGCACTAGGAAAGATACTGGGAATATAAACTCCCTTCTTATGCAACTCATTTTTTTACAAAGGAGACATATGGCAAGACAAAATATGTGCTTTGATAGAGGTTCCCAGGTCCTAGGGCGTCCCTGGAACAAATCACATTTGGAGGCCAAGGGTATTTGCTGGCCTGGCACATGCTGCCCAGGTGACTTTCCATGGATAATGAAAATGAGATATTTCAAGCAGCAGCATGTTCCTCTTTCTCAATTTAAAGCAGAAAATTCTCACCGGGGTCCAGGAATCCACACTGAAGAACACTCCTCTTTCAGTATAGTGTATGCTTCTTTCAATATCTTTAGTTAGGGATGCAGTCACATTTCTGTGAAAATCATTCTTCTGTACTTTTGAGCTGCTGAAGAGGAAGAGGAATAAACCAGTAAAGACTGAGAAAACAACCAACCTTCTGAATAACTGAGTTGAGGCACGCAGACAAGTTAATCACAGGTTAAACATGTGAAGGTAGAAGGAACACAAAAATAAAATTGCAGAAAAACTTAATTCCACAAAATCTTTTAGGTAATACATTTCTAAGAGTTGAAAACCTGTCCTTACAACAACAAAAAAATGATTATTTCCTATAGCCTCAAAGTTCTACAATAAATATAAAAGGCTTGAATTTATTCCAGATTTTTAAAAAAATTAAAGCTATATCAATATTTCACATAAAAGGTCAAGAAAAAGGTATATAGCTGGCAGGGAAACTGGTAAACAGGCATGCTGATTTATCTTTTGTTGTTGTTGTTGAGACAGGGTCTTGTTTTGTCACCCAGGCTGGAGTGCAAAGGCTCAGTCATAGCTCACTGTAATCCCAAACTCCTGAGTTCAAGTGATCCTCCTGCCTCAGTCTCCCGAATAGCTGGGATTACAGATGCATGCCACCATATCCGGCTAATTTTTTTATTTTTTGTAGAGATGAGGTCTCGCTATGTTGCCCAGGCTGGTCTCAAACTCCTGGCCTCGAGTAATCCTCCTGCCTTGCCCTCCCAAAGTGCTAGGATTAGAGGCGTGAGCCACCATGCCTAGTCCTGGTTTATCTTTAAAGATATGCTAGAATTAATATACAATAAAAATACATTTTCAAATTCAGAGGTTTTAACAAGCTCATAAAGTAGGTGCCTAGAGGGGGCAGACAGGCCTCGGAAGTGACTACATGGAAGGCAGGCAGCAGCCATGAGTAGAGGGGTTTCCAGACAAGACGCCGGGAGTGTAAGGGTTCTGGCAAGCCAATCTAAAGGTGTTCAGCGCAATTGAAAAACCACCACCACAAAATTCACCTAATTCAAATAAATTAAACAATGAGGGCTTAACTGAACCCTTTTCTGCATATTCTCAATTCTTCCAAAGTGCTAAGATCATTCTTCTTAGGACTTTTCAATGCAGGACCCTCCTTTTGAGTATCTAACTCTTGCTCACCCTTAAATCTCTCAGGTGAGCCATTACGTCTTCAAGGAGACCTCTCCTGTGCCGGGGTTAGGACACTGTTGCACCATCCCAGGGCGCCCTGCACTTTTCCTTCCTTCCTAATACTTAGCCATGGCTACAATTGCTTGTTCAGTGCCCATCTCCCTGCCAGGCCACAGGCCCTGAGAGTGGGACTGTTTCTCTCTTGCTCACAATGCTCTCTCTAGTGCCTGAGCCAGTCACTGGCACCTAATGATTAATAAATAATATTTTACATTATTTACACTATTTTGTTGTTATATTTTATAATTAATAAATATACTTTGCAAATACTGCAGGTTTTGTTCCAGATTGCCACAATAGAGCGAGTCACACGCATTTTGCTCCTCAGTGCATACAAAAGTTATGTTTACGCTATAGTGTAGTCCATTAAGTGTGTAACAGCATTATGTCTAAAATATATATATATATATCTTAATTTAAAAATACTTGATTGCCAAAAACTGCTAATAATTATCTGAGCCTTCAGCAAGCAGTCATCTTTTCGCTGGTGGAGGGTTTTGCCTCAAGGTGGACGGCTGCTGACTGATGGGGTGCAGGGTGCTGCAGGCTGGGGTGGCTGTGGCAATTTCTTCTTTTTTCCTTATTTTTTTAATTTACAAAACTTTTCATTTTAAAAAAATAATTTTATATTTTTTTCATTTTTACATGTGTGGAAGCAATTTCTTACAATAAGATAACAATGAAGTTTGTCACATCAATTGACTCTTCCTTTCGTGAAAGATTTCTCTATAGCATACTATGCTGTTTGATAGCATTTTACCCACAGTAGGACTTCTTTCAAAATTGGAGTCAATCCTTGTAAGGTTTTTCAGTGGCGGCGAAAAGACAGACACAGAGAAAGAGTGAGGGGCAAACCACATGGCTTTATTATACTCTCGTGGACGAGGTTCTGGGGCCCCAAGAGAGGGGGACCCCAGAAGTCGCTGCAGTTTGAAGGGGCTGAGGACTTTTATACCCTTTGGGCAGGGCTAGGGACTTGTGGCGGGAAGAGCTGGGGATTCTCTATTGTGACCGTGGATGGTCGTTGAGAAATAGGAGGGACTGGAGGAATTTGTGGAATCCAGGAGCGAATCCAGGTGGACATCTGGGTGTGGTTCCTCTCAGTGGGGCCTGGCAGTTTGTCCTTGGTGGGTCAGGTCACTAAGCGTTTTCTTTTTCCATCTAGGGAGGGGAGGGGGCCCCTGCCACCAGCCTTACAATCCTCTCAAATCCTGCGCTACTTTATTTGCTAAGTTTAAAAGTTTATTCACTGTTTTAAATCTTTTGTTGCCATTTCAACAATGTTCACAGCATCTTCACCAGGAGTAGATTCCATCCCAAGAAACTACTTTTTTTGCCCATCCTTAAGAAGCAACTTCTCTCTGTTAAAGTTTTTTTGTTTTTACAGACGGGGTCTCTGTTGCCCAGACCAGAGTGCAGTGGTACAATCATAGCTCACTGTAATCTCAAACTCCTAGGTTTAGGCGATCCTCCCACCTCAACCTCCCAAGTAGCTAGCTGTATAGGCACCCACCACCATGCCCAGCTAATTTTTTAAAAAATATTTTGTAGAGATGGGCTCTCGCTACATTGCCAGGCTAGACTCAAACTCCTGGTTTTAAGCAATCTTCCTGCCTCAGCCTCCCAAAGTGCTGAGATTACAGGCATGAAGCACTGTGCCTGGCCTCATCTGTTAAAGTTTTATTGTGAGATTGCAGGAATTTAGTCACATCTTTCAGGATCCATTTTTAATTCTAGTGCTTTTGCTTTTTCCATCATTTGCAGTTACTTCCTCCACTGGAGTCTTGAACCCCTCAAAGTCATCCATGAGGGTTTGGAAACAGCTTCTTCCAAATTCCTGTGAGGGTTGATAATTGTGACTTACTCTCAAATCATGAACATTCTTAACAGCATCTAGAACGTGAATCCTTTCCAGAAGATGTTTAATTTACTTTGCCCAGATCCAGAGAAAACATATCAATGGCAGTTATGAATTTATGAAGTGTATGTCTTAAACAATAAGGCTTGAAAGTCCAAATTACTCCTTGATCCACAGGCTACAGAATGATTATTATATTAGCAGGCATGAAAACATTCATCTCCTTGTACATCTCCATCAGAGCTCTTGGGTGATTCAGTGTATTAACAATGAGCAATAATATTTTGAAAGATGTCTTTTTTTTCCTAGTCTCTACCAACAGCTAGAAAAAGATGTCTTTTTTTCTAAACAGTAGGTCTCAACAGTGGGCTTAAAATATTCGGTAAACCATGCTGTAAACAGATGTGCTATCATCCAAGCTTTGTTCTATTTATAGAGCACGGGCAAAATAGATTTAGCATAATTCTTAAGAGCCCTAGGATTGTTGGAATGGTAAATGAGCATTAGCTTCAACTTCAAGTCACCAACTGCATTACAAGAGAGTAACTAGAGAGTAAGCCTGTATTTTGAAGCCAGGTATTGACTTCTCTCTAGCTTTGAAAGTCCTAAATGGCATCTTCTTCCAATTGAAGGCTGTTTCATCCACATTGAAAATCTGTTGTTTAGTGTGGCCAACTTCCTTAATGATCGTAGCTAATCTTCAAGATCTTTTTCTGCAGCTTCTCCACTAGCACTTGCTGCTTCACCTTGTACTTTTATGTTAAAGAGATGGCTTCTTTCCTTAAACCTCATAAACAATCTCTGCTAGCTTCAAACTTTTCTTCTGCAGCTCCTTACTTCTGTGGGCCTTCATGCTGCTGAAGTGAGTCCAGGCTTTGCTCTAGATTAGACTTTGGCTTAAGGGAATATTGTGGCTGGTTTGATCTTCTATCCAGGCCACTAAAGCTTTCTCCATATTAAGCAATTAGGATGTTTCACTTTCTATCATTTGTATATTTACTGGAGTAGCACTTTAATTACCTTCAAGAACTTTTGTATTCACAACTTGGATGTTTGGCACAAGAAACCTAGCTTTCCTTTGGCTTTTGACATGCCTTCCTTACTAAGCTTATTCATTTCTGGCTTTTGATTTAAGTGAGAGACATGTGACTCTTTCTTTCACTTTAATAGTTAGAGGCCATTGTAGGGTTAGTAATTGGTCTAATTTCAACATAGTTGTGTGTCAGGGAATGAGAAGGCCCAAGAAGAGGGAGAGAGGTGGATGAACAGCTGGTTCATGGAACAGTCAGGACACATAATATTTATCAATTAAGTTCACCATCTCATATGGGTGTGATTCATGGCACCCCAAAATAATTACAATATCAAAGACCCTGATCATAGATCACCATAACAGATATAATAATAATGAAAGTTGAAATACTGTGAGAATTACCAAAATGTGAGAGAGACGTGAAGTGAGCACATGCTGTTGAAAAAATGGCATTGATAGCCTTGCTTGACAGGGGGTTGCCACAAACCTGCAGTTTGTAAAAAGTGTAGCATTTGTAAAGCACAATAAAAGAGGGTATGCTTGTATATTTCTTTATACTATTTGTTACTTTATTATTATTATTATTGAGACAGAGTCTCACTTTGTTGCCCAAGCTAGAGTGAGTGCTGTGGCATCAGCCTAGCTCACAGCAACCTCAATCTCCTGGGCTCAGGCGATCCTCCTACTTCAGCCTCCCAAGTAGCTGGGACCACAGGCATGCGCCACCATGCCCGGCTAATTTTTTGTATATATATTTTTAGTTGGTCAATTAATTTCTTTCTATTTTTTGTAGAGACATGGTCTTACTCAGGCTGGTTTTGAACTCCTGACCTCAAGCAATCCTCCCGCCTCGGCCTCCCAGAGTACTAGGATTATAGGCGTGAGCCACCGTGCCCGGCCTTTATTACATTATTGAATGAACAAATGGTGGTTGGTACCTGGCTCCCTCAGGAGATATCACCTCTTATAATACAAATCAAGCCTTCCGGGCCTCTTCCTAAGAAATTACCAGAGAGGGCTTCTCCCAACCCTGTCTTATTTATACTTTTTCAGGGTGAAATTTGGATAACAGTTATAAGTAACAACAACAAAAATAATGGTAGTAATAATAACACTATCAGTCAGTGAACAACTTACTATGTGTTAAGTGCTTTACATCCACTATTGCATGTGACCCATGCCATGGGAATGTGGATGTGTGTTGTTGTTTTTTCCATTTTGCAAAAGGAAGAAGCTATGGCTCAAAAAAAAAAAAAAAAAATGAAGCAACTTACTTAAAAATCACACAAGTATAAATGGCAGAGCTAGAACCTATATATGTCTGTCCACAGATCCCATGCTCTCAACCTCTACAGTAAACCCCCTCCAGGTGAAATGTTATTTTTCTATGAACAATTTTTGGAATCTACTTACCCCTGGGTATTGTTTCGCTGGCCACCGCATGCAATGAACAGAGGGTTCTCAGGTAGGCTGCAGTCACTGGGGAAATAGTCAAGTGAATTAGGCATTTTTCTACCTTCTTTTCAAGCATGAATTTCACTGAGAGTCAGTGATATACTTCAACCACTTCCAAAAGGCTTAAAGTGCTCATGACCTAACCATATAGGACCAACTAACAGCTGAGTCCTAGACACGCGAGGTTTTATGGTAATACAGGCAGCCCCCCCAGGCTCACAGCCTCCCTCCTCCCTCCTGCTGAGCTGCTCCAGGCTGACCAGACATGAAACATCTGAATCGGATACTGCAGTAGAAACTGGTTCCCAACTCCATTACTTTTCTGCCCAATTCTGCCCATTCGTGCCCAAATATGTATGAATTTCATTTCTTTCATTTCTTTTTTCTCAATTTCATTTCTTTAAAAAATTTCTATAAATTCATGGCCGGGCACAGTGGCTCACGCCTGTAATCCTAGCACTTGAGGTGGGAGGATTGTTGGAGCTCAGGAGTTCGAAACCAACCTGAGCAAGAGCGAGACCCCGTCTCTACTAAAAATAGAAATTGGCTAACTAAAAAATATATAGAAAAAATTAGCCGGGCATGGTGGCACATGCCTGTAGTCCCAGCTACTAGGGAGGCTGAGGCAGGAGGATCGCTTGAGCCCAGGAATTTGAGGTTGCTGTGAGCTAGGCTGACGCCACGGCACTCTAGCTGGGCAACAGAGTGAGACTCTGTCCCCAAAAAATAAAATTAAATTAAATTTAAAAATTCTATAAATTCGATAATTAAATAGGTAATGCAGTATCCCCTTTTACAAGTGAAGACTTCTGAAAACATAAGGGATGAACTCTCTTCGTGAGGGGCTTCCCCCCAAGTCTGAACAGAAGCATCAAGGGAGTGGGCATTAACATTAGAAGAGAATTCTGGAATGAAGACTATTTTTAAGGAAAAGAAGAATTGTATGGAGGTCATGCGGGACGCTAAAGGTAGTCTGAAGGTAGTAGAGAGCGTATGGGGTGAGAAAAACTAGTTGCAGAAAATGAATTTAGAAAAGGAGGTAGGAAGAAGCTGAAGGCAAACTTTTCCTGCTAAAATCTTTCTTCAGGCTATCCCGCTTTGGGATAAAGTAAAAGTTCTCTTTGAAGCCTCTTTTCTCCACCCCAGGATTCAGAAAGCAGAGTCTTTACAACATTAGCATTGTATTTACAAATACATTTTGAGGTAAGTAGCAATCTGGGAATGTAATTATCACTGTTTCTTTAGAAAAACATACCATGAGCTCCAAAGAACATACATGAGCATTGTAAGATAAGCTATTACTCTTAAGTTGGGAAATGCGTGCTTATGAAAATATTTATATTTTTTTCTTTTTGTCATAAATTTGTGTTGTCTCTCTTTGGAGCCTTCTCTAAATTTTTCAAAAATTCCTGTAAATTCTGACAAAGCTTTCTTTGTGTGTGTAAAAAAGCGATCAATTCATGGAATGTTATGCCTTGGTAAATTGGGACAGGGAATCAAGAGACAAGAAATGTGTTCCTTCTCAATTATTTCTTCCTAATTAAAGAATAAGGCCCAGCTACATATCTTTCCTGAGCTGTTGGGATAACCAAACCAAAAACAAATACCACAAATTTCCAGTTTGAGGTTTGTTACACATGGATTATAAAAAACAAGTAAATCAGGTCACTCTCTCCCCAATGTGGCCATGTTTTATGAATCCTTCCAATATAAACTTAACTTCCTTCTAATAATAATTATAATATTAGTAGCCAGCATTTATTAAGTATTTACTGCATGTTAAGCCCTTTACATGAGTGATCTCATTTACTTCTCACAACAACCACATGATAACCACATGATAAAAATAATCTTACTGTCCTCATTTTGCAGATGAGGAAACTAAGGCTTGGGGGGGGGGGGTTGGGTTAGCAACCAACTTGCTCCAGATAACTCAGTATTGAGTGGCAGGACTCTTAAATTCCAAAGCCCATCCCCTCTACACCCATGCTAGCTGCACCTAAAATCCCACAATCACATAAGGAGGGCTTGGAGATTTTACTTGAGGTGTATTTCACTATTAAAAATGGCATTCAGGGGCCGGGCGCTGTGGCTCACGCCTGTAATCCTAGCTCTTGGGAGGCCGAGGCGGGCGGATTGCTCAAGGTCAGGAGTTCGAAACCAGCCTGAGCAAGAGTGAGACCCCGTCTCTACTATAAATAGAAAGAAATTAATTGGCCAACTGATATATATAAAAAAAATTAGCTGGGCATGGTGGCGCATGCCTGTAGTCCCAGCTACTCGGGAGGCTGAGGCAGTAGGATCGCTGAGCCCCGGAGATTGAAGTTGCTGTGAGCCAGGCTGACGCCACGGCACTCACTCTAGCCTGGGCAACAAAGTGAGACTCTGTCTCAAAATAAATAAATAAATAAAAAATAAAAAATAAAAATAAAAATGGCATTCATATTAGATGTTTTTATCCCCGCCAAATGGTTACTCACTGAGTCTGAAAAATAACTTTACTATGTACAAAGCTAAGGTTAAATTTATCATCAAAAGGAATTTAGTGTCAACACAATATGTAATTATGGTTAACATTACTTCAATGCTAGCAAATGTGTTTATAAGGGCAAAGGAACATCATGCAGTATAACACACTGGAGCTATGCTTCCGTGGGCCACTCCAACATATAAACACCCAACCCTCCTATAATCTGGACCTGGAACAGTTTCCCAGGCACAGTTCCTGCCCAGAAAACCCTCTTTCCTACTGCTAGTGGCACAGCCTAAGCTTTTGGTGCTGTCCCGATGTCCCATTGCTTTCCACTTCAAACCTGTATCCCCGCCCTGCTCAGCTCAGCAGTGGGGAGACTGCATACCCCCTGGTGTGTTAGAAATGAGAACCTTGGCTCCCCAGATCTAGGGGTCGATTCTGTGAGAACCTAATGGGAACGGGGACAATCCCAGTCTACCCTGACCTATATTTGGTCTGAGTCTCTGATGCACACTTGTCCTGAGCATGCTGAGGAGGAGAAGGAAAGGAATTGGAGACTGAGCAACTGTCCCATCTAGGTTAGAGGTCAAATTTCCACAGAAAACTGTGCTTTAAAAATGTATTTATTTAAGATTTTATTTTGGAGTGTGTGTGTTGGGGGGCATGTACCTGGGGTTGTGTTTGCATCTGGGTGTTTTTAGTAGTAGGTGAAGTACCCTTTGAACCCCTCAAACCCTGAGAGGTGAGTTGGGGTGGAGAGGCAAGTCACCACACCCATTGCTACAGCTAGAACACAGCAGCTGAGCCACTCCCCCCTGGGGCCTGGGGAGAGCTGGCATGCGAGCTCCCAGCAGGGGTTCTCCCAAAGAAACAGATGGAACACCACCTGTAGAGGCTGATTCCTTCCTGCCTGAGCCATTTCTCACAGACCACAAGTTCTGTGGTACCTGTCTCCCTAATCCTAAAACATCAGAGGTATCAACCAAGCCAACTGGATGGGAACTAGTCAGGTCTTTGAGATGACTGAGTTTCTATTCTTTCTCTGCTTGAATAGGTTAGGAAAGCACTTCATGAAACTTCTTTGGTTTTGTTTGTATTTGATCAGTTGAAAAAACTGAGAGTTATTGTTGCGGAACAAGGTAGAAAGGCAGGGAGTGACAGGTATACGAAATGGAGTGATAACTCACCTGGTCCCATTCTCTAACATGAAGCTTGTTAGACGGTAGATATTAGTGGACCAAAACGCCATATCATCAAGTCCTCCAAGGAAATACTCTTGGAATTGTTCTACCAAAAACGGGGACTTAGTAGAGTAAGTAGAATAAAGCTACAGCAGACAGAAAGAAAAAAATAAATCAATAAGGAGCTCTTGCTGGTATTTTTATAATCCTTTAAACTAAGATTTGGAAGAATGAGGCCTTTACCTTGGAAACAGCCAACATTTCACCATACCTGCAATATAAACAATAATTTTGACTGGTTTTTTTTATTAAAATTTTTTTCTGTTTTTCTTTTTTCTTTTTTTTTCTTGTGATATTCAAACTAAATAATTTTGACTGTTATGTTGCAGTTTCTAACAGAAAAATGAAACAAATCATGACAAAAAAGTTCCAACCACCCACCCATAGCCATGCACTGCCTTTAAATACGCAAAATCCATAAACCCCAAATCCATTCTCAAGAACCTGTGCTAAGGAAGTCACAATAAAATCAGTGCCAAACTCTCCCCTGGGTTACACTTACATTTCCAAGAACTGAAGGTGTGAACAATCAACAATTACATTTTTGGTGATGACTTTTCGACCATAAAGTTTATCATAAATTCCCAATAGATCTTTGACAGGCACATACCTGAAAAATGTAGAATAAGAGTTGTTTTGATTCTGAAGTTGAAGATAACAATGAAGACAGTAGCAGCAGCAACTGCCAGTTATTCCATGCTTATTATATACCAGGCACCATGCAAAGTCTTTACATGCACTAGTTATTTAATCCTACCAGTGACCCAAAGTGCTTAGCATTATTATATTCCCATTTTATATAAGAGGAAACTGAGGCACAGAAAAGTTAAATAATTGGTCTAATGATGCAGAGTAAACAACTGGTACCTTAATCAAATATTGATGAAGATACACTCAGAGATTGGAAACTATTAATAAAGTATAAAAGGAGTGTTTAATTTTGTGAATTGAGAGTTTAAGCAGCAATTTAAAGTATTTTCATTCTTTTGAGTTGAATTTTTCTCAAGAATCATTTTAAAAACACCAAAAATGGCTCCTCACTCCAACATCTTAGTTTCAGAGTAGACAGTATAAAGTAGTGAAAAGAATTCTAAGTCAGGCTTTTGGTTCACATATATTGTGTATTTCAGTTGGGAGAAGAACATCATTTAAAAATTAGATTCATATGGATCATCTTTTATCTTAATTTTAACATCCTCAGATTACACAAGACAAAAATCTCAACCAATAAAATCTGGTTTTACTGTGTTTACAAGAAAGAAGTGATTGAGATGTGCACTTTTTTATTCTATAAAGAGCACCGGAATGGCCTTCCCAATAAAAATAGCTTAAGAGGCTAGACAAAATAACAATATTTTTTTTAATGAATCACTAAGCTAGCAAGGAAGTGAAAATTTTCCAAAGGCCCCAAACTAATAGAAACTGAAAACCTTGGGAGTTGAGTGACTGGGAAAGCCACTTTTCACCCTGAGGACATCTGCCACTCCCTGAGAGCCTGAAGGGGTTTAGATGGCTGTGTAGTATGCAGAGGACAGGAGACAGAACATAGGAACCACTCACAGTGGCCATTTCAGAGGAGATCCCTGCATTTAATCTAGAACACAAAAGGCTTCATCTTTTGCATAAGTATGAGCTAGAAATAAACCAACATACAAACAGGACAGCAAAAAGCCTGATTGTTTTCATCTTGGCATTGGAGAGAGAGGGAGAGAGAAAAAAAATCTGTTTCCAGAATGCGTAACCACTAGCCAGTCCCACCAACGTTTTGTCCTGCATTTGTGTCACCTGTGTAGTCAGAAAACTTCAAGGGTTGAATGTAACTTAAAGGGGTCCCAGGGTAACAGTGCCTCAAGGCAACCTGCAGAAGCCAAGACGAACACTCTCCGGAGAAATGCAACTCTAACTAGAGCCCCAATTAATTCGGATACCACAGAATATAACCAAAAGATAACCAATATAACTAGTCATATCTGATAAAGTAGACTTTAAGGCAGCAAGCATTATTAGAGATCAAGAGGGTCACTATATCATGGCAAAAGGCTCAATTTGCCAGAAAGATACAATTTCAAAATTGAATGTACCTAACAGTACATACTGAAAACATATATAGCAAACTTGGACAGAATTACAATAAGAAATTTAAAAACCCACCATCACAGGGGGAGATTTTTAAAACTAATTTCTCCTTCAATTAGATTGACCTGATAAAAAGCAAAAAAAAAAAAAAAAAGTAATGTTTTCTTACTTATAGTTTATAAATCTTTTGACTTGAATGGTAAATTTAATAAGTTAGAGCTAATAAGCATATATAAGTCATCAAACCAAAAATTGGGGAATTAATATTCTTTTTAAGCATGTATGGAATATTTATAAAAATTGATCCTATCTAGGCTATAAATCAAGACTCAATGAATTTCACAGGAATCCAGAAAATGTAGAAGGAAGAAAATAAATATGAATAGAAAGTAATAGAAAATGAACATATAATAGGGAAGATCAATAAAGGCAAATATTCATTCTTAAAAATAATAAAATACTAAACAAGATTGTTTAAAAATATAAGAGAAGACAGGATAAACAACATCATGGTAACAAAAGGAACATAAGTACAAATAAAATACGAGAAAAAAGTATAATAAGAGCAGATTATGAGCAAACTTATGCCAAAATGTTTAAAGACTTAGATGACATAGAAAAGTCCCAGAAAAATAAAAAATTCCTTACAAAGAAGTTTAAAAGTATATTAGTCCTATAACTATTAAAGAAGTTTTGTTAAAGTCCCTACAAAGAAATCAACAGTCCTAGATAGCTTTACAGGCAGGTTCTACGAAGTATTCAAGTAATCAATATTCTAATATTACAAAACTTCCAGAGAATACAAAAAGAAGGAACAATCCCCAGCTAATTTCATGAAGCCAGCATACCAAAATCAAACAAGGAAAAAGAAATGAGAACTACAGTACAAGCTCACTCTAAACATATATGCAAAAACTCTAAATAGAATCAATTCAAAGAATATAAAAAAAGATGATATATCATGACAAAATTGATTTTTGACTCAGAAAGTTTTAATATTAGCATATAGATTAGTATAATTAGCTATATTAACAGAGTAAAAAATAACTATCTCAACAGATATAGAATAAGAGTTTTTAATACAATCTGAAATTAATTTATGAATAAAAACTACTAGCAAACTAGAAGTAAAAGAAACTGCCTTAATTTGATAAAGGGTAACCACAAAAACCTAAGGCAAACATTACACTTGATGAAATTTTGAAAGCATTTTCTTTACAGTCAGGACCAAATAAGTATGTATGCTCAATATCACCACTTCCATACAGCATTGCACTAGAGATATTAGCCAGGGTGAAACAGCTGGAAGAATGAATTAAAGGTATAGACATTGAAAAGAAAGAGCAAAACTGTCACAATTTGTAGATGATAAATTGTGAGTCTATAGTAAATGCAAAATCTCAAGATAAATTATTAGATTAATAAGATACCTTAGGCCGGGCGCTGTGGCTCACGCCTGTAATCCTAGCTCTTGGGAGGCCGAGGCGGGCGGATTGCTCAAGGTCAGGAGTTCAAAACCAGCCTGAGCAAGAGCGAGACCCCGTCTCTACTATAAATAGAAAGAAATTAATTGGCCAACTGATATATATATAAAAAAAAAAAAAATTAGCCGGGCATGGTGGCGCATGCCTGTAGTCCCAGCTACCTGGGAGGCTGAGGCAGAAGGATCACTCGAGCCCAGGAGTTTGAGGTTGCTGTGAGCTAGGCTGACGCCACGGCACTCACTCTAGCCTGGGCAACAAAGTGAGACTCTGTCTCAAAAAAAAAAAAAAAAAATAAGATACCTTAGAAATGTTGCTAGATATAAAATCAAACTTAGAAAGTCACTTGTATTTCTATACACCAACAATCAATTAGAAAACACAGCTATTAAAAGTTATCATTTATGTTAGCAAATAAAAATATAAAGTCTCTGGGATTAAATCTAATAAAATGCATAAGACCTTGGTGGAAAAATTTATCAACTTGTAAAATTTACAAGTCATTAAAGAAGATTTAAATAAATGGAATATAAAACATTTATTGATAAAAAGACTGAATATTGCAAAATTCTTAATTCTCCTCCTATTCATCTCTAAATTCAATATACTTCCAGTCAAAATTCCAGTAAAGTTTTTCTTGGAACATAACAACCTGATTCTAAATTTTATTTGAAAGAGCAAAGGCAAAGAATAGGTAAGGTGCTTTTGAAGAAAAAGGACTAGTTGAAAGATCTGCCCTATAAGATGACAGAGGTCAAGACTTATTACAAAACTACAGTAATTAAAACAATCAATATTATTCAGGATAGTCAATTAGACCAATAGAATATAACAGAAAGCCCCAAAACTGACCCATATACACATAGAATTCTAATTTATAACAGAGAGTATATTGTAGATCAGAGAGGAGAGAATAGATAAATCACTCTGGAACAATCTAATTATCTCTCTAGGAAAAAGTGAAATTAGATTTACATTTCAGAATATATAAAAAATTAATTCCAGGCAAATTAAAGACATAAAGTTAAAAAATAAAACTATAAAAGCTTTACAAGACTAAGGAAGAGAATAACCTCCTGTAAGAGAATTAACAAATTCTATTTGCCAAGATATACCATAAAATAAGTAAAAAGACATACCACAAACTGTAAAAAGATATAACAAGTGACAAGTTGACAAAAGATTAGAAGTCAGAATACACACATGCCAATAAAAAGGAAAAACAATCCAGTAGAAAAACAGACTAAAAGCCAAAAACGATTTTCACTTAATGTCAAACACAAATGATCAATAAAACACACAAAAAAAGTTCAACCTCATGACTAATCTGGGAAATTCAAATTAAAACCTTAATGAGATACCATTAGAAACCAAATGAGTTGAAAAAATTTAAGCATTGGACGATACACCAAGTACTGGAGAATGCAGAAGAAGTAGAACTAATTATACAAAGCTAATGGGAGGATAAATTGGGAAGACCATTTTGAAAAAGTAAAGTTAAACCCTATGATCCAGCAATTCCACTTCTGGTGATGTTTACTTGAGAGAAATTCCCTTCTAGGGCATGAATATATATATGAAAAATGTTCATATACAACACCCTGTATAAAGCAAAAACACTTAAAAATATTTTTGTGTGCATCAACCTTAGAATGCAGTAATCCATTTTGGTATATCCATAGAGTGGAGGACCACATAGGGGTGAAAATGAATGAACTACAGAGCTAAATATATCAGTATGATTAAATCTCAAAAACATAATTATAAGAAATTTGTAGAAGAATATATACTTTATAATTCCATTTATCTAATGTGAAAAACCATATAGTAATTTGCATATACATACATACATACATAGTAAAACTATAGAGAAAAGCAACAAAATGGTTAATAGGAAACTTAGAATAATGATTACCCCAGGTAGGGGAGAAGATAAAGTGATTGTAAAGGGAAGACAAGGAGCTTCTAAGATATCAGTAAGGCTCTATTTCTCAAGGCAGGCAATAGCTACATAGTTGTGCGTTATCTTATTCTCTTATTTATAAATATATGTTATTTTATGTGCTTGGTACAATTCACAATTATTTTTGAAAATCTACCTAGACTGTTCTAATCTGCAGTTTTGCTTTTCAAAATTTAGAAATGCAGAAGACTCCTAATTATACTGTTAGTTATCTTTTCTAAGAAAAAGAGTCAAGGTCCAAAATGCCATTAAGGTATAACATATTTAAATGTACATTGCTCTTACCAGCGCCGTGAGAGGTAATTAAAATTAAATTCAAATTGGCTCAACACATCTCCTCCTACAGTATGAGAAAAATTTACACATGGTGGATTAGTGACAATCACAGCACGCTTATTTCAACATGAGTTCTCACAATCCAGATTATTAGTTCTTCACATTGTTAAACATTTTTGTTAATAGTTTAAGTACAGGCGTGTCTTTTTTTAAGAAGCAATATTTTTAAAATCTCAGCTAGTGAAGGATATGAATTAAGAAAGAATTGGCCAGGTATGGTGGCGCATGCCTATAATCCTAGCACTCTGGGAGGCTAAGGTGGGAGGATTGCTTGAGGTCAGAAGTTTGAGACCAGCCAGAGCAAGAGCAAAACCCCACCTCTCCTAAAAATAGAAAAACTAGCCAGACATGGTGGTGCATGCCTGTAGTCCCAGCTACTCAGGAGACTGAGGCAGGGGGATCACTTGAGCCCAAGAATTTGAGATTGCAGTGAGCTATGATGATGCCACTGCACTCTACCCAGATCAATGAGCAAAAACTGTCTCAAAAAAAAAAAGAAGATAGGATGTATATATGTATCTATGCACTGGCAAAATATAAAAAAAAAAGTAAAGTACATTAGGGATTGCATTATAAGTGAACTATAACTACCACAGGAGAAAATTTGGCAAATGTAAACAGTACCAAAATCACCAGTCGAATGAGCCTCAGAATAAGAGCCATGAAAATCAATCTGAAAAAGAAAAAAAAGCATCTGGTGTGTATCACAAATTATAGCCCAAACTCTTACCCCCCAACTCAAGTGAATATTGGGGAGATGACAGCCTAACCCAATGAATTGCTGAGGATACATAATAGATGCACTCAATTTTCACACTAACATTTTATTATTAATAGTAAAATAATTATATTGGCAGCTGAGCTATATATGCAATGTCTGGTAATAAAGCTATTGCAAGAGAATTATGCCTTATAGGGTATGTATAAAAACCAAAGTCCAAGTTTAAAATTCTAAAAGAATGAAATGAATATCAACTAATGAGAAGCTAAGTCGCCAGGTAAAAATCACGATTTTCAGTATGATATGTGGCATTTTCATATAGAAAACTGAAAAAGCAAAAGCAAAAAAACTGGAACTATTACTTCTAAACACAACCATGTGGCCGACGTCCTTATTAAGACACAGAGCTTGAATGAAACATAAAATTTCTCAAATATTTTTTTGTGACTAGAATAGAACATTACACATCTCTCACTGTTTTCAGTGCACATTCGTCACTCTGCTCTTGTGGATGAGTCTACCCAGGTGGCAAAAAAGAATAAAAGGAACAAATTAGAAAAGACAGAACTCTAACCAAACACTGCTTTGGGCAAGAAGTCTTGTTACATGACATCTGACTAACCTAACATTTTCCTTTCCTTTCAAAGGGTTAATTTTTGATCTTGTGTATGACGTATCACTCCTGTAAAGTCATTAAGCATAAAGAGATGTACTCACAGCTCCCATCGTCGTAAGGAATCCTTGCTCAATGCCCAGGCTATGCCAGCTGATATCAGCCACCATGTGAGAGGTAATTCCAAACAAGAAAGCTACCAATTTCTCTGTGTCCTGCCAAATAAGCAAATTAGACTCACATGTGTTTGAGTGACTTTATAACAACAATCCTATTAAAAGTTTTAATAAACATGAATTCATTTCCATTATTGAGACTTAACAAAAACTTAGAGGCAGCTACATTATAGTTTCTAGTTATCAACAGTCACATTAGGACTTTTTGAAATGTTTTGTAGAGCCTGGGAAGTGCTTTCAGGTTAATTACTATTATAGCAAAATGACCAAGTGACATACTCCAAACTTTTTTTTTTTTTTTTAATAGCTCATTCAAGTAGTAACCAGCCATCTGTTATGTTGCAAGTACTGTGCCTGGCATTGAAGGCAGGATGGTGAATAGCCCTTACAGGGTCTGGGGGGAGGGTGGAAAAGCAGTCCTTGGCAGGTTCGGAGCTGAATTGTTTTTAGGATCAGAGGGCTGTGCCTACCTTGTCCCAGGGAAGAGGATAGTTCTCTCGGATGTAATGAACGCTTGCATTAAGAAACGGAGTCCAGTGAGTGCTCTCGGACACTTCATGGAATTTTCCTGACAAAACAAAAGCAGGGCTCTGGATTCTTTCTTAAAAGTTGGAGCATCTCAATCAAACTTTCCACTCCACCCCCACAAGTTGGCATGTCCCTTCTCCGCTTTCCCTCCCAGCCCCTTAGTTTCCTCTGCTGACATTCAAAGGAAGCCTCCTAAACAGAGGAGTCAGCTGAAATTTTGGGACAGGCATAGCACTGTCTGCGGGACCAGTAGAGCCCTACAGTAAGGGGAAAGGAGCCTGAGTTGGCTCACCGAATATCGTATCACCTGGTTAGAACAGAGGCTAGAAGTATTTCCATTTTTGTGCCTTATAAAGCTAAGGAGACAAGTTGTCTGTTTGTTTGGGTTTTAAAAACTATCCTCTTTGTCCATTACTTTCAAGCTCCTCAGGAGTACAAAAAACAGAAAACATAAACTCCAAAGACTTTCAAGCATCTGAATCTATAATAATTGTTTTTAAAATGGCACAGGCCACTGTGAATATTTTCAACAGCATTATTTGAGTGGGCCAGCGTGTGCCCCGTGTAGCTCTTTCTTCACACAGAAGGGTAGGAAAGACAGGAACTGGCATCTATTCTAAATGTCTAAGTGCCACAAATTCTTCATGGGGTTCCAAGTGTTACGGGGGCAACTGAGAGCAAAACTCCAAGTTCAGATCCCTCAGTTCCAAACTTTTATGCTATTGCTAAAGTAAAAGTTACATAACCAGTTTTAAATCATTGTCCTTCTGAAAATGATTTTTATAGAAGTTGGAACTAAGAAATTTGATTTGCTCCAACAGTTTTCCTAGAGGTAAAACTTTAAATAATTCCCGTTCTCCAAAATACAGTTAAACATCCAGAATTAAGTATAGCAGTAGTTCTTTCGACCAACCTCCACTTAACCAAACTTCCAGGTGAACCAAAGCTCTCTGGTCCTTCTGTAAGTCATACAAACTGGAAGATAAAGAAAGTCACCCCGGGGCATGCCGGATGCTGACAGGCAGCAAGCCACTGTCCAGAGGGCTGGGCTCATCTGTCCACACCATCATACCACAGCTCACTGAGGGTCAATCAGATCTGTTTCTAATCCTGTTTAAAACAGTTGTCCTTGTTGTTGAAATTATGAAAGTTAATTCAAGATTAGGTGAAATATGAATATTAAAGCAAAGAGCTTTTTGTATGGCAACTAAGTATCTAAGTACTTAAGTACTTCCCAAAGATGCAATAAAAGTGAATCACCAGGCCGGGTGCGCTGGCTCACGCCTGTAATCCTAGCACTCTGGGAGGCCTAGGCAGGCAGATTGCTCAAGGTCAGGAGTTCGAAACAAGCCTGAGCAAGAGCGAGACCCTGTCTCTACTATAAATAGAAAGAAATTAATTGGCCAACTAATATATATAGAAAAAATTAGCCGGGCATGGTGGCACATGCCTGTAGTCCCAGCCACTAGGGAGGCTGAGGCAGCAGGATTGCTTGAGCCCAGGAGTTTGAGGTTGCTGTGAGCTAGGCTGACGCCACAGCACTCGCTCTAGCCTGGGCAGCAAAGTGAGACTCTGTCTCAAAAAAAAAAAAAAAAGTGAATCACCAAAGAAGAAAAAGAAAACTATTATTTCAATAGATATGCATGAAACAAGGTAAGATCTAGGAAAATTCATTAAAAAGTCTAAGAGAAATCTGTTTTTGGAGCTGCTATATAGTGATTCCTTATAATCATTATATATCTTATAATTCTTTCTAATTGATCTTTTGATTTATCAGTCATACATGGGTCTTTATATCACATAAAAGATTACTGCTTTATTTAAAAAATACATAAAATGTTAGATAGTTTGAATTCCTTTTCCACTCTTCTCAGAACCCTTATTATTGTGTGTTTTGTCTATCTCTAAAAATAGCATATATTAAGCAATATTTCTCAAATTTAATGGATTAAAAATCCTTTTTTCTTTCTTTTTTGTATAAGATATAAAGGGACTGTTAAAACATCAAAGGACAGTAAAGGTCCCAGGACTATGGTTTGGGAAATGCTAAATTAGAAATAATGGGTTAGAAAGCAGGAGAACTATGACTTGCAGGCAAAATAATAGCATTGAGAAACGACAGTTAACAGACTAAGAGGGAAACAGAAGAAAACTACTTATAAATATGAGAAATACAAAAGCTTAGCTGTCTGGGATTCTAACCACAGGAGCAGGTAGCCGTAAACATTTCACTGACCCTAAAGGCATCACTGTATTAAAGGGATGATTAGTTTGCACGACCACTCAGTGTGCTGGATGGCTTCCGTTTGTTCCCCCAGATCCACTCTCCATCCTACTCCACCCTGCAGAGCAACTCTGAAGTCACCTGATTCAGGTGGCTTCTTTGCCCTCTGGCTTTGGTTGGGTTGGGTTTGGCCCACAGAGAGAACAGACAGGAGGTCAGAGAAAAGGAAGACAGAAAGGCTGGGGGCATTTATTCTCCTAGCTCCATTTCTGTGGGGATCACAATGGGCTGGCTGTGTCCCTCGGCTAAAGGTCCAGCTTTTCTCAAGTGTCCCTCCTCACGCAGGTGTCCGCAGTTCCAGTAATCGCTCCTTCCCCTGTACTATCCCTTACAATTCCTGACCTTCCTCTTACACCTTTGAAAATAGTGGCTTTATTAAAGTCCCCTCCAATTACTCAGTTTGACTGTGACTTCTGTGTCCTCTTAGGGCCATGCCTGATATAACCCAGGAGCCCAACTTATGAATAGCACTATCTTAGAAGTGCATAACACTTGACAATATATTACGCACTAATGCCACCAACAACGCAGTAAGAAGCAGGTAAATACTAAGTCACTGACCAACAACAATGGAAAATATATTGTACTATTATATTTATATACATTTTTAAGTCATACCTTTTCCTATTAACCAAGTAAAAGTGATACTGTTTGTTCTGCAAACCTTCATCTTACCTCCTTTGCAGATACTAGGGTAAAAACAATCAGGAAACACGGCTCCAGCCTGATACGCATCCTGGTGTTCTAGTAACAGCTGGGGAACATGAAAACAAAGATTAGGGGGAAAGAGTCAGCAGCCTGGGAAATGCAGCCCCCCCGACCCCATTGGCTACCAAGAATTGGAAGTGGGCCAGGCGTGGTGGCTCATGCATGTAATCCTAGCACTTTAGGAGGCTGAGGCAGGAGGATCACTCAAATTCAGGAGTTTGAAACCAGCCTGAGCAAGAGTGAGACCCCGTCTCTACTAAAAATAGAAAGAAATTAATTGGCCAACTAAAAATATATAGAAAAAATTAGCCGGGCATGGTGGCACATGCCTGTAGTCCCAGCTACTTGGGAGGCTGAGGCAGTAGGATCGCTTGATCCCAGGAGTGTGAGGTTGCTGTGAGCTAGGCTGATGCCACTGTACTCTTGCAGGGGCAAGAGAGTGAGACTCTGTCTCAAAAAAAAAAAAAAAAAAAAAAAAAAAGAATTGGAAGTGGTCCAGTCAAAACAAAAGTAGACCAGTCAAGAGCAAAGGTCATGACAACATTTTAGGATGTTTAAGGAATTTTGCTTGTTGACTTTCTGGAGGGCCAAAGAAAGATAACATCTGCTTATTATAAGAGTGTCTGGGGAAAGTTATGAACCCTTTGAAGTCTCCTCTTATGTATGTGTGTGTGTGTGTGTGTCAGAGACAGAGAGAGACATATATACATACATGTATTTAACAGTTTGTATACCTGTGCTTTATGTAAGATTATGTCCTTTGTGCTTTTGGAGGGTTAAAAAAAATATCTTTGAGCTTCAAGTCAGTGACAAGTAAAAAAAGATTAATAAAAAATGTTTTAAAATTTAAAAATATCCTTTCCCATTTAAAATGATGTGAAAGTAGATGGTAGGGGATTTCTTTTAAATGGTCATCCTTGGTTGGCTAGCTCAGTCCATTCTAGTGTACCTAGATGCATGCTAGAGAATACAAGGCAAAGACTACATTTCCCAGGCTGTCCGAAGCTCACAGTCTAATATGGCCCAGACTCCATCATGGTGCACACTTGCTTCTTTGGCTAACATGGAAGCCCTTGGTGTTTCTCCAGCAGAGAAAGCAGAGGGCCCAGTGTTGCAGCTCTAGCTTCCCACACATCCATGGAAGTACAGGACATCCATTTTATAAGTGAGGAGTGTGGCTGGGGTGATGAGGTCCCAGAAGAATCAAGGTGGTTTCTTATTTTCTAAAATGTTTATGAGAGCCAGGCGCGGTGGCTCACGCCTATAATCCTAGCACTCTGGGAGGCCAAGGCGAGCGGATCATTTGAGCTCAGGAGTTCCAGACCAGCCTGAGCAAGAGTGAGACCCCATCTCTACTATAAATAGAAAGACATTAATTGGCCAACTAAAAATATATAGAAAAAATTAGCCGGGCATGGTGGCACATGCCTGTAGTCCCAGCTACTTGGGAGGCTGAGGCAGGAGGACTGCTTGAGCCCAGGAGTTTGAGGTTGCTGTGAGCTAGGCTGATGCCACTGCACTCTAGCCCAGGCAAGAGAGTGAGACTATCTCAATAAATAACTAAATAAATAAAATGTATATGGAACAGTTGAATCTGGAACCAGAAAAGAGGGCAGTGACCATCTGACAAGGGTACTAGTAGTAGCAGCTCCTTGGCAAGGCCAGTCCTAAGAGTCCTTTCTGGACACTTGGCCTAGAGCCTGCTCCTCCAGTTCTTGCGATTTGTAAGCAGTGAATTCCCTAGTTCTCAGTATTAAGCCCTTCCCTGCCTAAGCTAGTCAGATGGGTTTCCATGATCTGCAATGAACTCTGATTGACACATTGGGCAAAGTAAAAGTTTAGCAACACAACTCTTTTCTTTTTCAGTAAGGACTCACTAATAATGCGGACCCTACATGGAGGCAACAAAGAAGTCCCTCAGAAATTTAAAACACAAGGAAAGACAGTATCACCTGTTTCTTGGTTTTATTTTCCCAACCAGTATCCCACTCTCCTCCTTCTAGAGACAGTTCATCGTCTCCTGAGAAGAGCCCATCCCATGGTGCTCAGGTGGGGCTGAGCACAGGGACAAGTGGCCAGTGCATCCACTCCCACCACAGTGTTTGGCTCAGAGATGGACACTTGGTCAAAGCTAGAGCAGTCAGCACCTTCCCCAAGACTGCTCAGCGAGAGCTATGGGAAGACACCCTCTTCCCTTTGGGGTTGCTAAGCTTTTTTTTTTTTTTTGAGACAGAGTCTCACTCTGCTGCCCAGGCTAGAGTGAGTGCCGTGGTGTCAGCCTTGCTCACAGCAACCTCAATCTCCTGGGCTCAAGCAATCCAACTGCCTCAGCCTCCCAAGTAGCTGGGACTACAGGCATTCGCCACTATGGCCAGCTTATTTTTTCTATATATGTTAGTTGGCCAATTAATTTATTTCTATTTATAGTAGAGATGGGGTCTCGCTCTTGCTCAGGCTGGTTTCGAACTCCTGACCTTGAGCAATCCTCCCGCCTAGGCCTCTCAGGGTGCTAGGATTATAGGCGTGAGCCACTGTGCCAGCCCAGGGGTTGCTAAGTTTTGAGGCTGCATTCGGGGCTGTCAGTGGCTTCATGTGGAAGGAGATACAAGACCATCAAGACTTCTGGGCCCAGATCTACTCTGACTGTCAGTTACGTGAACCAATAAAGTCCCCTTTTTCTCAAAAGACAGCTTGAGTTGGACTTTTGTCACTTAAAAATAATAATTAACTTTATTGACTGTTTACTTTGCCAGCCACTGTTCTAAGCTCTTGATAAGTATTAAGACTTGTTGAATCGTATCTCCCAGTGAGGTAGATTTGTTATTGAATGTGACAAAATGATTCCGAAGTACATTTTGAAAAATGTGCAAAATAGTCAAGAAACTGATAGGGAAAAAAGAAGAGTTCTAAGGAAGGATGTTTTCTTCAGATATTAAAAAATGTGTTTTTAAGCTACAGAAACAAAAATAGTATCCAGAACCAAAAGGAACAGATCAATGAAATAGAAGAGTACAGAAACAGATTTAAGCACACATATAACTGAATGTAAGATAAGTGAATAAAGGATGGAGTAATCAGCAAACTGTGTTGTCATACCCCACAGCAATGAGTATACCATCTTTGCACGGGCAAATTTATGTTTTTGAAATTAACATTACCAATAACACGTCACTGGATCCCAATAAAGCTTTATGCCAAAATAAAGACAAGATGAAGTAAAAAATCAAATGTCAAAAATGGAGCCATAAAATTAACAGGACAAAATTTAAGTGAATAATTGTATAACTGTGAAATGGGAATGATTTTTCTAAGCATAACATAACAAGTAGAAACCATAACAAATGATTTGCGCATTTAGTTACACAAAAATGTAAGAGTTTTGCATGGCAAAAAGCACTAAAAACACACCTAAAAGAAAACTAACCATGAGAATCATTTAATAGATTAAGGGCTAATATCTCTAATAAGCCATGCTTACACATCAAGATAAATATCATAATAGAAAAATGAGCAAAAGACGCAGGCAATTCACAGAAGAGGTGACAGAAATGGTTAATAAACACTTGAAAGTGTATTTAGCCTCATTAGTAAGTTAATAAAATGCCAATTTAACTCAAAACAAAATCAGTTTTCACCTACCAAATTGGCAAAGGTGAAAAGAAATAAAAATTAAGCCCTAAAAGCAAAACCATTTCTAAATCTGAAGATACTCAAGAAATTTCAATGAAATACATGAGCAATTAAGGCTATTTACCCTTCCTCTGTCATATATAGTATGTCTTCTCTATATGTCTGTCATGTCATTTGTTTCTGGGCCAACAGGATTTGGCAGGCCATGCCAGGGCTTTGCCTCTGAACTCCTGGGCTCCTTAAGTGATCCTCCTGCCTCAGCCTCCCGAGTAGCTGGGACTGTATAGGTATGTGCCACCACACCGGGCTGTTTTAATTTTTTGCAGAGAAACGAAGTCTCACTATGTTACCCAGGCTGGTCTCGAACTCCTGGCCTCAAGTGATCCTCCCACCTCAGCCTCTCAAAGTGCTGGGATGACAGGTGTGAACCACACCCAGCCTAAAATTAAGTTAATAATACAAACTTGAATACCCCTACTAGAAAATCACTCTGCACACACTCAGCATGGATTGTTCATGTGACAAATTAGGCAGATTCTTGCTTCTCCTGCTCTTTCTTGACTACTTTCCATCCAGGTCAATGAAAATGACAATCAGACATAAATGCTGTTTTTTCTACAGGGCCTGTTAAATTGGCAAGTAAGGAAGTTGACTCCTATGACTTAAAATGGTTTGTGGATACAATAAATTTCTGTTATCTTACCATCCTGCTTTCCATGATGGATTATTAAGATTTTTTGGTAATAATTTTATCCAATTCTGCTATCATGACAGAATGCTAACCACCCACCCTTATCAGATGTATGTATGTCTGATAATTTTAGTTAAAATAAATAAATAAGAAAATAATAATAAAAAAGATGTAGGTATGAAAGAATCATCTTTGTCACAAAGTATTATTTAGCCACAGAATTAGAAATAGTATCTAGGGTCAGAATGTGTTCATTTGAGGATTGGTAAAGGTGAGTCATCAGACAGTCCTATCAGGATACAATAGCACATAAAGGAGGAGGAAAAGTCAAAGGAGCATCTCAATGCATATTTGTTAATAAATAATTCCTTCTCCTCTGATACAATTTGTGTACAACACACAGTGACAAGAAGTGGAAAATAAATGATTTCTCTTAAGTATGTCCTTTCTTTATAAAAACAAAAAATATATACCACTTAAAAAAATTCCGTCTCAAATATTTTTTCAAATTATGATTCACATCATTAAAATCTTTAAAATGTGATATATATGCATATATATACACACACACATAAAGTTCAACTAACACTTGGAGGGGACATATACCTTTTAACCATAATATTAATATTTTATAAAGAAAAATGAATCTTAAAATTACTGTTTAAATATCTGTTATGGACTTTTGTTTGACATCTACAGAATAAAGTTAATGCACAAGGAATAAAAGACAGATCAAGCTTTATACCTCTTTGTAGTTAACACGCCCATCTTGAAGATGGAGAAACTCCAGGGCTCTGTGTCCTGAGAGAAATGAACACATAAATCAATCAAGTTCAAGTATAACTAAAACTAAAACTTACTAGAGGTCATTTTAGGGGAAAATCTATAATTTTGTGGTTGTAACTGTCAAGGAAACAGGAAATCAAAATTACATTTGTATTCTCTTGCAATTTTTATTAGGCATAATTAGATTTGTACAATATTCCTATTTTTATAATACCAATCAAATTTACATGGTGGTTTGAAGTTTCCGCTTAACGAGTTCTATGACCTTGGGTAAGTTATTTAACCTTTCTAGGCCTCAATTCCCCCCTATGGAAAATGGAGTTAACCACCTTCTAGATTGGCTGAGAGAATCACAGAAAATAAACACCAAGTGGCAAGCACAGCAGTATGAGGGCAAGAAAAAAAATTGTCATCATATTTTGTGTCAGAACTGAGGTAGATAAGTAAGCCTAAGTAGAAAATATGATATAAAGCCTAATCCCTGGGCTGAACCAATGATCCCCAAATGGTTTTTCCTCACTGGGCCACTTTGGAAGGACAACATAGTCTCAGAAGGCCACCTAGTCCGCCCCACACCCACCCATATTCAGACACACACACCCTCAGCCTGCTCCTCCAGAAACTCAATCAACAGGAAGACCAGCATTCCTTGTGAAGAGACACTCAAAGGCGATATCTTATTTCTATTGTGAATCACATAGAATTTCTTCATTCATACAACAAAAAAATATTGCCACTACTACATTATAAGCATTGGTACCATAAGAGATAAGTCACAGCCCACACAAATAACCTATATATAGGATTCCAGTGATTTATGCTGAAAGAGGCCAATTCTAATGAGCTAACTCACATAATACCAACTTTCCACTCAGGCCCTTTTATAAGAAATGAAAAAGTGAACCAAAATATTTATAAAATCATCTAAGTTATTAGTAAATAAATGATGGAGTTTTTCATTCTTTTTTTTTTTTTGAGACAGAGTCTCACTCTGTTGCCCAGGCTAGAGTGAGTGCCATAGTGTCAGCCTAGCTCACAGCAGCCTCAATCTCCTGGACTCAAGCAATCCTCCTGCCTCAGCCTTCTGAGTAGCTGGGACTACAGGCATGCGCCACCATGCCCGGCTAATTTTTTCTATATACTTTAGTTGGCCAATTAATTTCTTTCTATTTATAGTAGAGACGGGGTCTCGGTCTGCTCAGCTGGTGGTCGAACTCCTGAGCTCGAGCAATCCACCCGCCTCGGCCTCCCAGAGTGCTAGGATTACAGGCGTGAGCCTCTGCGCCCGGCCTTCATTCTCCTTTTATATAGAAAATTCTCAGAATCTGTGCTGACTCTATTTCAGGAACTGCCTTCAACTCGCGTATAATATATATATATATATATATATATATATATGTGTGTGTGTGTTTTGTTTTTTTCTCTTTTTTGGAGACAGAGTCTCACTCTCTGGCCCAAGTAGAGTGTAGTGGTGCCATCTTAGCTCACTGCAACCTCAAACTCCTGGGCTCAAGCAAACCTCCCCCTCAGCCTCCCAGAGTGCTAGGATTACAGGTGTGAGCCACTATACCCAGCCTACATTACTCATTAAATATCCATTAGGATCTTTGGCAGTTGATGAAGAAAGGCAAGCAATGATCTGATTTTATTAAAATTTCATATGTCATCTGTCTTATAAATTTTTAAACTCTAAGGATTAAAAAATTGAATATTTTCATTTATATTTTCCCCTCTGCAGTTCACTCTATAGTTCTGGCAATTTCAACTTCACAGAACTTAGAGTTGGAAGACACTTCAGAATTAAGGAGTTCAACTCCCTCATTTTATAGCAGAGGAACTGAGAGGTTGGTAAAGTCAATAGCTCAGACACACATCTATCTCCCTTACAGCAGAGCTGGTGTTAGAACCTACGTCTGATTCTCTTTCCCATTATTTCCTGACTCCCTTTGAGCAATAAATATTGTTTTTAATTTTATTTTATTTTAGAGACAGAGTCTCACTCTGTTGCCCAGGCTAGAGTGAGTGCCATGGCGTCAGCCTAGCTCACAGCAACCTCAAACTCCTGGGCTCAAGCAATCCTCCTGCCTCAGCCTCCCGAGTAGCTGGGACTACAGGCATGCGCCACCATGCCCGGCTAATTTTTTGTATATATATTAGTTGGCCAATTAATTTCTTTCTATTTATAGTAGAGACGGGGTCTTGCTCTTGCTCAGGCTGGTTTTGAATTCCTGACCTTAAGTGATCCTCCCACCGGTGCCTCCCAGCGTGAGCCACCGCTCAGCCAATAAATGTTGTTTTTAAGTGACAGGATCTTGCTCTGTGGCCCAGGCTGGAGTGCAGTGGCAGAGTCATAGTTCACTGCAACCTAGAACTCCCGGGCTCAAGCGATCTCTTGCTTCAGGCTCCTGAGTAGTTGGGACTACAGATGGCTAAGCAATAAATGTTTAATAGAAAGAACACCAGACTAGCTGTCAGACATGTAATTCTAGGCCAAGCCACTAACAAGTTAGCTGTAAAACTGTCTAGTATCAGTTTCTTCATCTGTAAAATAAAAGAACTGGACTCAGTGACCTCTAGTGTCCTTTCAGATTGAAAAATTCTGTGATCATGGATAGGTTTGCCATAGCTCAATATCTAGGTCTATTTTGTACTGATAAATTTCCATATTTTATCTATAGTCTTGTTATTCTTTGTAACTTCTAGAGATGGCATAACTATAAAATGTTGTTATTGTTTTTATCTAAAGAAAACCCAGAAAACATCAGGTATATCTGAAACTAATGCGAAAACTGCTGTAGAATGTAATTATAGCTAATTATGTTACATTTTCCATGTGCTAAAAATATTACACATATATTTCATATAAGAACCAAACCCTTGGCCAGGTGAGGTGGCTCATGCCTGTAATCCCAGCACTTTGGGTGGACAAGGCAGGAGGGTCCCTTGAGCTCAGGAGTTCAAGACCAGCCTGAGCAAGAATGAGACCCCGTCTCTACTAAAAGTAGAAAAAATTAGCCGGGTATGGTGGTGTGCACTGGTAATCCCAGCTACTCAGGAGGCTGAGGCAGGAGGATCGCTTGAGCCCAGGAGTTGGAGGTTGCTATGAGCTATGAGGACACCATGGCACTCTACCTAGGCAACAGAGTGAGACTCTGTCTCAAAAAAAAAGAACCAAACCTCTTTGCTAAGAGAGTAGGTAACATGTTCTCACCACACATGTAACTATGTGGTGATAAATATATTAATTAGCTTGAATGTGGTGATCATTTCACAATGTGCACATATATCTAAACATCACATTGTACACCTTAAACTTATACAATTTGTATTTGTCAATTATACCTCAATATAGCTGAAATAAATAAATTAAGAAACAATTCTTTGTGCTACCATCTACCTATATCCAGATAACTCTCCCTTTGCCCTTGAGCTCAGTGGCACCGGCTTGCTGTAGCCCTCTCCTCCCCAACTCCGGCCATCTTCCCGGAGTTGGCATTCTCTAATGCCAATGACCATCCAAACTCCCTTGCTTCCTTGACATTCCAGAAGCCGAACACCTTTAAAGCCAATTTGACTCAGGGGATCCACTCCCATAGCCACACATGGTTCTTTACATATACTTGGAAATGTCAAATAACAAAAATAAATTCCTCACTCCCATCATATTCCACCCATCTTTCTCCTCTTCCCTTCTATTACTATCAGTTCTTCTGCTTCATTGCAACCTCTAGTTGATCGAGCTCCTCACTATTTCCCAGAGAAATACCCAGCAACCCTGTGACCAAGGGGCAGTGGCTCTCTTGCTTACTTGCCCTCCACTGAACCCAGCCTGGATGACTGCAATCACGGCCTCCTCTTCCTCACTGTCAGGCCGCCCAGTGCAGGGGGAGGGAGCATGGGGGAGGGGAAATGCATTAACACATAGGACAGATTTTCAACCTCTTCCTTAATGTCTTCTGACAGATTTATTGTCCTCCCAATAGCAAGACAAGGCACCAGTACTCACCTATTTCAATGTGTGTTGAAATGCCACATGATGAACCTCTAGGACAGACAGAACCCAGCAGGATGAGCAAGCCAGACCACAACCTGAAAGCAGACATGCTCTCGATCCTCACCGGCTCCTCGGGGCACGTGGGAATTCTCAGAGGTGTGCCAGTGCTGGGACTCCGAAATCCAGTCGCAGATCCACTGCTTTTCTCTAAGCAGGTTAACGACCTGGAAAACCAAGCTTCATTTCAAAATAATATCATTTTCCAATGAAGTCAGCTGTTCAACTACTGTTTAGCTTCACCAGAACAGCAAACAAACTCTGTCCTCCTGGAGAGGAGAGGGGGTGACACACTGAAATCCAAAAGCCTCCTAGTGGATGCATTGCTTCTTCTGACCGAGGTTTTCCTCTGGATTTTACTTGTACATGAAATTTGTATGGAGATACAAGCAGAGTTGTCTCCAAATATATTTTGCTTTCTAAAAAAAAAAACCACTCACCTGTGCAGACTGCTAGTCAATATATTGGACTGCCTCACCTTACAGGGGTGGTCTCTCACGCATCCTTCCCACACATTTCTCAGTCTGCCCTGCTTCCGCAGCCTCCCAAGCCACAAGTGCTGGGAAAGCTTTTATGGTGATCAGCTGGAACTGGCTTCTCTTTCAGTATTTGGCAACAGATACCGACACTTGAATGGGATTACACAAGAGCAACCACTCCTGGTCTCTCTTCTATCTCTGGCTGTTCTAAACGGGCTCATCCAGAGCCTGTGGCAAGGTCAGATTCTAGCAGCCCCAGCAAAGATGCTGATTCCATCTTGGGAGGTGGAGGGAAGGGCAAGATTTAGGGTGAAGAAACAAGGGTCTGGAAAATGCTACCCTCAGAATATACCAGTCATGAGGTAGCCAATCAATTATACTTAACCTTGAAAACAATTAAACTCTTTATGAAAATGATGGGAATCTTAAAGTACAAATTATGCATGTTATACATTAAAAGCAAGAGAGAAGCTCCTAGAAGAGTGGGAGGAAATGGTATTCATTCTCAAGTTAGCCAAATGGAAGCATGAATAGAAAGTGGGGGGTCTTTCTCCACCTGTGGAGACTGACCTGTTCCTCTCTCTGGAATGCATTTTCACTTGAAGTAGCTTCCTTCTTTCACTTTGTGAAACCACCTTTACAAATCGATGAAGGGGTGCAAGGCAAGAACTGTGGTAAGGGCCTACCTAAAAATAAGGCACAGGCCTAACTAAAAATGGTAGTAATTAGCCACTGTCACCCTATTCCCATCCTATAGTTGCCACCCTGGAACCACATAGCTGGTGGTCATAAAGATTCTCAGCTTTCTCCATAAATAACATCACCTTTTGAAGTTTCCAAGTTATCTTCAAGGTTCTGCAGTCCAGAAAGGCTGACCCACTCAGACCAGCCATCCACATCAAAGAACTGACTTAACTGGTCATGTGACCCCTACCCAAGAACCTGGTCATGTGGCCCCCACCCAAGAACCTGGTCACCAAAGAAGAATTTCTACAACCCTATGGTTTCGCCCCAAACCGAGCCAATTAGCAGACTCAATTGCCTACGCCAAACTGTCTTTTAAAAAGACAGTTCCAAATTCTCCAGACTTTCCAAATTCTCGAGGAGGTGGATTTGAGAAATTTCTCCCATCTCCCAGCTTAGCAATATTCAGAATAAACTCTTCCTCTATTGTAAAGAAAAAGAAAAGAAAAGAAAGTGGGACGATCTGAGACAGTGTGCGCCAACAGTTTCCTCTGTAACCTTAACTCAGCCACCTGCAAAGCTCGAAGGAGATGAATCCTGCTGCTCTCCCCCAACCCTGAAGGCATTAGGCCCAGCTGCTTCTGATTACTTTTAGGCTAGAAGCTGTATGCTGATGTGTTTTGTTTGGCAAACAGGGTACTGTATAAACTCAGGCCAATGTTTTGTTTTAAATGAGAAAATTCACATAGAAATCTAGATTTCTGGCTCTCTTAAAAACAAACACAAAATAATTGGCTGCAGGAACTGACATCCCCCTGTGATGTGACAATCTGGAGCTGAGGAGCCAGCTGCCCCACTTTGCTAGAGCGGTGCCCTCCTGGGTGGCCTCCTGTGCCCACCATCCACACAATGTGTGCAAGTCTCCATACCCCTCTGGCCACCAAAGGCCTTTCAGTTTGCCTCCCTCTCACTCAGGGCCTTCTAAAGCCTGTGGGTGAGGTGGTGGCAATTATAAATTGGGGCTTTGATAAACTCAGAGCATTCAGGAGTAGTCAATCAAGGGAAACAGTTAAGAGAGTTGCAAAGGGTCACTAGGGGAAAAAATAAGGCTACCTGGAAACAACATCTAACCTGATATAATAAAGCAAACCCGGCCGGGCGCGGTGGCTCACGCCTGTAATCCTAGCACTCTGGGAGGCCGAGGCAGGCGGATTGCTCGAGGTCAGGAGTTCGAAACCAGCCTGAGCGAGACCCCGTCTCTACTAAAAATAGAAAGAAATTAATTGACCAACTAAAAGTATATATACAAAAAAAAAAAAATTAGCCAGGCATGGTGGCGCATGCCTGTAGTCCCAGCTACTCGGGAGGCTGAGGCAGGAGGATCACTTGAGCAAACAGGAGGAGTTTGAGGTTGCTGTGAGCTAGGCTGACGCCACGGCACTCACTCTAGCCTGGGAAACAAAAGTGAGACTCTGTCTCAAAAAAAAAAAAAATAAAAAAAAAATAAAGCAAACCCATCCAAAAAGCACCAGAGAAAGAAATGGGTTCAGTTACTAAGTAACACTTATCCCAAATTTCTCATTATGTATCTCCTATATTTAAGGTTCAGAATGACATAAACACATGTATTTAATAAAATAGAAGGGAATTGTTTGCTTAGGTTGGTTATGGTTAGGTTGTGATGGTTATGAATATGGTCTTTATGTGACAATGTGACAATGTTGCTTACATTTTTATGAAGTTTGTATTACTTTTGTAACCATGAAAACATCAAAGGTATGACTTCAAAACTTCAAAACAAAGTTAAAATACAGGTTGCAGTATTAAGAAAACTGTCTGACAAATAATAAGTATATGGAAATCTTTTTCTTTCTAAGCCACACCCCCTTTCCTAATACAGGTGGCTTTGTTATAAGCAAGACAAAATCATTCTGTCATTTAGAGCTCTTGTGGAAATACAGACACAAGCCGAAAGGTAGACATGCAGTTCCAGTAAGGAATGGGTAGGGAAATATGGGCTTGAGAGCCAAAGGGTCTCAAGCTTCATTTTAGTCCCTGTTCTGGTACCTTTTTTTTTTAATTTGAATTTTTTTTAAATTTTTTTATTAAATTTTTTCTCCTCCAGACTGCTACCTTCTATATCTGGGTGACCTTACACAAATTATTAAAAATTTCTATGCCTCAGTTTCCATGTATATAAAATGCAGATAATAGTGCCCACCTTACAGGGGTCATTATGACGATCAGCTAAGTGCCTAGACTAGAGCCTGGTATACAGTAAGTGTTTAAAGCATTCAAAAGAAATTTTCCTTCTTCCAAAGATTCACCATAGATTTCTATTAAATAACTATCTTCCTTATGGATTTTTTCAAAAATCAAGAAAAAAATGTTTTACACAATGGTACTCAGCCTTATATCTTTTTTTAAGCATTATATCTTTTATAACGATTTATATTTCTGTATAAAGCTAAACTGGGTGAGAATTTTGAATTGAAGGTGGGTCTCCCTGTGCAGATAAATGAGATGCAGATTTTAATGCCCAGAAACTTTTGAAATACAGCAGACAAGTCCAACTGACTTCTACACCAGTCTAGTAAGTTGTTGTCATCATAGCGCCATTAGAGCAAATAGGGGAGAGGATGGATAAAGGTGGCAATTGGGGGGTAGAGGTGCCCAGGACAAGAGCAGGCTAAGGAGAAAGGAGGGAAAAGTTCCCTGTCACCTGGTAGTCTTGCCCTTGCAGGCCCTGGTGAGCACACCCAGCTGGGCTCTGGGGGGCACCAGGGCAGCCTAGAAGTAAGGCAAGCCAGGAGAGAATTGTTCCCGCTCTGAACCAGGGTTTGCATAGCGCACAAAATAGTGAGGGGGAAGGAGGAGGCCACAGTGAATTTCCTAGGCTCTATGCACTTTTGCCTTTGTCAAGCCCTCCCTTTCAAAAAAAATACATAAATTAATTAATTAAAATCACATTTTACATCTGCATTGGTATAAAATCAATATATTAATATTCTACCTTTAAAAGTTCATTTTCTTTTTTCTGATTTTAGAAGAAATGAAACATTTTTGTGTGCTCCTGAAAGTAGTATGGGCTCCAGGCTTCGTAGTTGCTAGGCCTAACGGGTAAGTCAGCTAGGCAGGGGAGAGGACACTGTTTGAAATAGAACTTTAAAAAGATTTCTCATCAGCGGTGATTAAAAAAAATAAATAAATAAATAAATAAATAAATAAATAAAAAGATAACCAGGCCAGGCACGGTGGCTTATGCCTGTAATCCTAGCATTTTGGGAGGCCAAGGCGGAAGGATTGCTTGAGGCCAGGAATTCCAGACCAGCCTGAGTAACAACGAGACCCTGTCTCTACAAAAAATAATTTTAAAAAATTAGCTGATTGTCCCAGCTATCTGGGAGGCTGAGGCAGGAGAATCGCCTGAGCCCAGGAGTTGAAGGTTGCTGTGAGCTAGGCTGATACCACTGCACTCCAGGCCATCAGCAGAGCTCCCCCTGCAGGCAGCAGATGTAAACACGCCTACTCCCCAGCCTCCTCGGGATACCCATCGTCCCACCTCCCCATCAGCACTCCCTTGGACTCCCCAGTTCCTTCAGTAAAATACAGAAGTAGTGAATCCACACACATAAAAGATTAAACTCGGCTGTCACCACTTCTGCCGCATGTGAAGGGCTCAAAACTGAGTGGATCTGACTCAGCAAAAGACAAAGTCAAAATTCAAAGTACTACCTCAGCATTTTGCAAATGTCCAAAAAAATCCAACGTCCCAGAAAAAAGGTGCAGAGCTCACAAGCTCCGCGAAAGCCAGCAAGACACACTCAACTCTGTAGGAATTGAGAATGGGAGATATGTCGAGACCAGTGATCTAAAATCAATGCACAGGGTTGGGCTTCATTTGAACCCCAAAATTCCGACTATAGGCATGCTATTTTTATTTTTATCCTCATTAAGGTTTAAGCTTCCTTGCTGCTTCCGGAGTTTTAAGCCCAAGTCTAATTTTGGAATGGACGAAGAGTGCTGTTTAAAGGTGACCACAGTATGCTCAATCTTTTTACCTTCATTAATTCAATCAATTCATTTTGACAAATTGTTCCGTTTACTAGTTGGCAGCGCAACTTTAATCTTACTAGTGGCTTGACTGGGGCAGCTAGTATGACTTTGAACAATATACTGAATTTAAGGCAGCAACTGTAGTAAGCATTACACGTTATCTCACAACAAGCCTGTGGCATAGGTATTGTTGCATTTTACAAGTAAAAGGACTGAGGCTAATTTGTCGAAGGTCACACAGCTTGTAGGCAACAGATTCTGAATTTGGATCCAAGTCTGTTTATGTTCAAAAGCGCTGATACTTATCAGGAGCACGCCGAGGACGCCCCTAGGCACACACAGAAAAGCGCCCAGGTAGCAGAACGCGGAGCGGCGCCTCGTCCCCGCATCCCCCAAATCCCATGTGCGCAGAAGCTGCAGAGACGAGGGACACGATCACGGCCTCGGCATCTGGGGCAGGCGCCAGTGCATCTGCGCACGGAGCACAAGTGCCTGTGGCAGGGGGTGCGGGATTTGGGGGGGTGATCGGGGAGGCAGCGGTTCCGACGCAGCTGTGGGGGTCTACGGAGTAGGTACAGACAAATGAGCACCAGAGCGGGAGGAAGGTGAGGCGGCGGCAGGTGCATTTCCCGGCGAGCCTTCCCCAACCCCAGCCCCAACCTTCCCCGGGAGAAGGTCGCGCAGGGAACGAGGCCACGCGGGCTCGGGCGAGGTGCGGAGAGCGGCGCGGCGGCACCGCGCGCAGGGCGCGGGAGGGAGCGCAGCTCCGCGACTCGGCAACCTTCAGCCTGCCCGTCCGCCGCCCCGCGCGTCCCCGCTTCCTCCTCGCTCCTCCCGCTCCCCGCGCCCCCGCGCCCCCGCGCGCGCGCACCCGCTTGCCTGCTTCCAGCCGCTGCCGGGGCCATGGCGATCTGCTTCAGGCTGCGGAGCTGCGGGGCCCCGCGCCTCCGGCCGCCTCCTCCTGGCCGCCTCCTCTGCCCCCGCGCCGGCGCCTCGGGGCCCGCGCCCAGCCCGGCTCAGCCCCGCTGCTACGCCGGGGGCCCGGCGGGCCTCTCCGCGGCGCTGCTGCGCACAGACAGCTTCGTGGGAGGCCGCTGGCTCCCGGCCGCCGCCACCTTCCCGGTGCACGACCCGGCCAGCGGCGCCGCGCTGGGCATGGTGGCCGACTGCGGGGTGCCCGAGGCCCGCGCTGCCGTGCGCGCCGCGTACGAGGCTTTCTGCACCTGGAGGGCGGTCCCGGCCAAGGTGAGAGCGCGCGGCGTGCAGGGGTCGAGAGCTGACCCGGGGCCCGCAGGGAGCAGAGGGGTATTGGCCCATAAGTGAAACCAGCCGCCGTCTCCTTCCTCTCCTCAATTCCCCGGGATACACAGAACGGAAAGTCGGAGCAACAAGAAAGGAGCCGATCAACAGATAAGTTTGGAACATAGGCTTTGGCCAACCACTGAGCCAGGCGCCAGGGCTCGGACACGGCCCCTGTCCCCTGCCCTCAAGAAGTGTGCTGCCCAGTAGGGGAGGCAGAACACAAGCACGTAATGCAAGTGAGCTCAGTGTTATTGGTAACAAGCCTGGCTCTGTGTGTGTGTGTGTGTGTGTGTGTGTGTGTGTGTGTGTGTGTGTGTGTAGGGTAGAGGGTGGGACGTCAGGGCAGTGAGAGAGCTCGTGTGGCCCTTCAGAGTATGTGAAATACCTTCCCTGCTGCACGGAGCCCAGCTAGGAGGCGCTACTGCAGTGGTCTGTAAGAAGGCGGGTAGTGAGTGCCCTGATCTAGCCATGAGATCAGGAACGGAGAAGTGTAGAAAGATTCAGAACTTATGCAGGGGAAGAGAGAAATCCAGGACTATTCTGCAGGTTTTTAGCCTGAATGGATAAATAATGCTATTTACTGACATAAAGAACACTAGAGAATTGGAGGTAAGGGGTGGGGATCATTAAATAGGGAGACTAGAGTAAGAAGAAAACTAAGAAATGTGCTTCCTCCTTCATTTATTATATTACACCTGGAGCCAACCCAGTGAAGTCATCGTCTACACTACCCTTGAAGATACTTTCTGCACCTCGCCTGAGCGGCTCCGTTCCCTACGCGCGACCTTCTCCCGGGGAAGGTTGGGGCTGGGGTTGGGGAGGGCTCCCTGGGAAATGCACCTGCTGACCGCAGTCACCTTCCCCGCTCTGGTGCTCATTTGTCTGTACCTACTCCGTAGACCCCCTCTTCAGCCCTCCCTCTGAAGATATGCATCCAATGATCTGTACAAGTACCAGAGATTCTTAACATTCTCCCATCCATCAGCTGTTTACCGAGCACCTGCTGTATGCCATGCACTGGTGAAGGTGTATGGGATACATCAGTGGACAAAAGAAATATTCTGCCTTTATGGAGCTCATATGAGGCAGAGGGGAGATCTAAACTATAGACAATGAACACAATACCTACGCAAATAAATATGTTAGAGGTGGTGAGTACCATGAGCACGAAAAGGTAGAAGAAGCAGGAGAATAGAATCGGGCCAGAGGGAAGGGGCACGATGCAGCGTACAGTGTGTGGTCACGTGTAGTCATGTGCTTGGGCTGCCTTTACGAGTACACAGACTGGAAGGCTTAGACAACAGAAATTTATCATCCCACAGTTCTGCAGGCTGGAAGTCCAAGGTCAAGATGTTGTCAGGGTTGGCTTGCAGATGACCGTCTTCTCCCTGTGTCTTCACATGGTCCTCCCTCTGTGTGTCTGTGTCCTCATCTTTTGTGTAAGGACAAAAAAGCCATGTGTACCGCAGGTATGCTTACAGCCATGGAATGACCTGGCATGTTCAAGGCCTGATCCCTGGTTCCTCTAGGACCCACAGGATCAAGGCTGCCTTACAATGGTGTTACAGTGCAGGGGTCAGTGGTGGTTTGGCGACCGCAGGGCTGATTTGGGGCCTTTTGCTGATGCTGGCAGTGTCACCCTCTGTTCTGCTCACACCACGGTGCTAATGTCTGTGTCCCTTGAATGTTACAGTGATGTCAGCTTCCATCTCACAAGGGCTCCAGTCTTTAAGGGAAACTTTGTTATTGAAAGGAGGGGTTCTTGGGTCCTGGAACATCTTATTATACTAAGGGAGTGGTAGCATCAGCTTCCCTGAGGGCCTGCCACTGCAGCTAGGAGATGGTGGGGCGCAAATGCAGTGACAGTTTGCAAGGCAGCTCTGCGATTCATCCCCCTCCTGCCTCCAGGCCTTTGCTGTCATTTTCCCCTGGTCTGATTTCCCCTCCCTTTTCTAGGCCCCTTCAAGTCCCACCCATTCTTGAAGGTTTACCTCTTGTGTAACATCTGCCTTTGAGCCTGTCTAACCACACCCTTCTATTATTCTCCCGCTTCCAAGCCCCCAGGCCTGTTCCATGCACCTCGTCATTTTCTGCATTGCCTCATATCTTCCTTTTCATGTGTTTTATGACCTCCTTTTTCCTACCTTGTAAACTCCTAGAGCACATGGGAGGAAGGGAACTAATATTTGTTGACTGCCTCATACGTGAATGCATTTGTTTCCTATGGCCATTGTGACGTATTACCATTAACCTAGCAACTTAAAACAATACAAATTTCTTCTCTTTCAGTTCTGGAGGTCAGCAGTCCAAAATCGGTTGGCATGGTTAGGTTCCTTCTGGAGGCTGTAGGGACGGTCTGTTTCCTTGCCATTTCCAGCTTCTACAGCTGCCCACATTCCCTGGCCCGTGGCCCCATATCATTCCAACCTCGCCTTCTCTCGCTCTCAACCTCGCCTTCTGCCCCTCTCTTATAATCCCCCTTATGAATGCATTGGGCCCACCCAAATAATCCAGAATAGCCTCCCTACCTCAAGATCCTTAACTTAATCACATCTGCAGCGTCCCTTTTATCATGTAACTAACATGTCATGTAACTAACAGGTTCGGGGGCTTAGGAGGTGGACATATTTGGGGGGCTATTATTGTACCCACCACAGCTAAGAGTTGCTCTTGGTGCCTCACATGTGTTTAACGTCGTCCTTTCAGTGTCCCCGTGAAGTAGACATTTGATTGGTGTATTGCCTCTTGGCCTTTTGGCTAAGATCAAGTGTAGTATCTGTTCTTATCAGTTTAACAATGCATGTTAAACTGCCGCCTGAGAGATCACAGGTCACCATCCCCCACTTCACTGCTGGTCACAGGGAGGCCCTGAGATCTGAGCACCACGCGACTCTGTCCTCTGTCCCGCCTCTCAGGAACCCTGTCTGAGTCTGGCACTTCCACGCAGCCCCTTACACAGACTGTATTAGTTTCCTCCAGCTGCTGGAACAGGATAGTGGCTTCAACAAAAGAAGTTTATGTCTCAGGCCTGGAGGTTAAAAGTCTGAAATCAAAGTGTCGGCAGAGCTGGTTCCTTCTGGGGGCCGTGAGGGAAGGATCTGCTCTAGTCCTCTCCCCTTGGCTTGTAAGTGGCCTCTTTCTCCTTGTGTTTCTTCACATTGTCTTTCTTCCATGCGGGTTTCTGTGCCTGTGTCCAGCTTTCTCCTTTTTATAATGACACAGTCATATTGGATTTGCGCCCACCCTAACGACCTCATTTTAACTTGATTACTTCTGTAATGACCCTTTCTCCAAACAAGGTCACAGTCTGAGGTCCTGGGCATCAGGACTCGCAACATACCATTTTTAGGTTGACACGTTTCCACCCATACTCTGTGTACCGAGGGCTTTTCATACTGAGGGTATTTTATGGATTCTGCTGGTTTATGTGTTCAGCCTGAACATTGTGTTTTCTGCCACCAAGCAGAAGCTACTTTTTGTTCTTGTAGTTCTCTTGCTGTTTCATGTCCTTCTCTCATTCTTTCTCAGACTAAGCATGGTGCATTATTCACAGCAGGACATTTTGACAGGTATTTAATTTACTTCTCTGAGCCAGATCTCCTAGATTTTAGTATGTCATCATTTGCCAGAATAATCCACAGGCCTGGAGTCACCAGATTCTTAACTGATATTGCAGGGCGTGAGGGTAAACAAAATGTAATGACTGTATTAATATTGTTTTAAGAGATGTTGATGCCTCTTCTCCAGGGTTTGAGATTTAGAGGCCTCAACAACACCCTTGAGAGGCAAGAAAATGCAACTTGTTAGCCTGTCCAGAATAGAGAAGGGAAATAGCCCAGAAAAAAACAGCTAGCGATACTTACACACATTCAGGCTCTCCGCTCATGAGTGTTATAAGGAAAGAATTAAAATCGTAGACCTGCTGAATGGATTAGCACATCCAAATGACAAACCAGGTGTACTCACTGCAGTGGACAGTCCTTCAGGCAGGGAGGAATAAACCAAAGATTCCTCGTGGCTTTGGATACATCTGTTCACATGCAGGAGGCTGAAGCCCTGGGCACATCTCTCTCTGTGCAGCCCAGTTGGCCTGATTCTCTCAGCCACCTTCTCTTTTTTTCATCCAGTTTTGTATAAATGCATTTTTTAAAAGTTTTTTTACTTTTAGAAACCATTTCTTCCATAAGCTTAATAATCTAATTTATCCCTTTATCTCTTCTTTGCTCATTGGGAATTTTTTAAATTGTGGGGAAATATACATAAAACTTACCATTTTAACCATTGGTAAGTATACAGTTCAGTGCCATTAAGTATAATCACGTTATTGTACCTGGGCCCTCTTCTTAAGTGTATAAAACCATTTATTTCTTAGGCCTCACATACTCCTCAATTCCCACCCCAATCGGTGGGACAAGTCCAACTTGCCAGCAAGTTGATAAAATAGAGAATGATACTTGAGGACATTACGTTGAATGAAATGAGCCAGTCACAAAGGGGCAAATCCTGCATGATTTCACTTATACAAGGTACCTAGAGTTATCAAATTCATAGAGACAGAAAGAAGAATGGTGGTTGCCAGGGCCTGAGGGGAGGGGCCAGTGGGGAGTTATTTACCTAGTACAGAGCTTCAGGTTGAGAAGATGGAAAAATTCTGGGGGTGGACAGTGGGGATGGTTGTACAACACTGGGAATGTATTTAACGCCACTGAACAGCACACTTAAAAGTGGTTAAGATGATAAATGTTATATGTATTTTTATCACAATTAAAAATAATAATATAAAACCTATAGGGGCCGGGCACGGTGGCTCATACCTTTGATCCTAGCACTCTTGGAGGCCGAGGCAGGTGGATTATTTGAGCCCAGGAGTTCAAGACCAGCCTGAGCAAGAGCGAGACCCTGTCTCTACTAAAAATAGAAAGAAATTAGCTGGACAACTAAAAAAATATATATATAAAAAATTAGCCAGGCATGGTAGTACCTGCCTGTAGTCCCAGCTACTCAGGAGGCTGAGGCAGGAAGATCGCTTGAACCCAGGAGTTTGAGGTTGCTGTGAGCTGGCCTGTGCCACAGCACTCTAGCCCAGGCAACAGAGTGAGACTCTGTCTCAATCAATATCAATCAGTAAAAAAACCTGTAGGGAACTATACCTTTGTATGGTAAAATTAAAGTTATTCTCATTTACTATAAGCAATAATAGCTGAAGTGATAGCACAGAACTTTTTTCTTTTATGTTTATGACTCATACACTCCTTTAGATGCAACTTGACGTTGGATCTCTGTTACTACCTGTCAAAGAAGGATCGACGTTTGTCTTCCCAAGCACATTACTCAGGGTTCTCCAGAGGAAGAGAACCAATAGGATATATATAGATACGTAGGAAGAGACTCATTATAAGCGACTGGCTCACATGACTGTGGGTGCTGAGAAGTCCCGCAATCTGCAGTGTGCAAGCTAGAGGCCCAGAAAGCTAGTGCTGTAGTTGCAGTTGGTTCTGAAGGCCTGAGAACCAGGAGTGCTGGTGTCTGATGTCTGAGAACAGGAGAAAATGGATGTCTCCGCTCACACAGAGAGCCAGTTCTCCCTTCCTTGGTCTTTTTGTTCTATCGAGCTCCTCAATATACTGGATGATGCCCACTTGTATTGGTGAGGGCAAATCTTCTTTATTCAGTCTACTGATTCTAATGCTCATCTCTTCTAGAAACACCCTCACAGATGTGCACAATGATGTTTTACCTGCTATCTGGGCATCCCTTAGCCCAATCAAGTTGACACCTAAAATTAACCGTCACACCAACAATGAATCCACATAGCTATCATAGGAAATTGAAGATTATTTAGCAGTCTGTCTTATACTTGGCATTTCATTACTTCTCTGTCTCGTTACTTCTTTTTCAGGAAAGAAGTTCATTACTGCGGAAATGGTATGAGTTAATGATACAAAATAAGGATGACCTTGCCAAGATAATCACAGCTGAAAATGTAAGTTCAGGGTCCTGGCTCATTACCCTGAGAACTTGTCTGGGAATTCTTAGACTAAACTCGGAAAGGCCTCTGACTCCCCATCCGTGCCGTCTGTACCTAAAGAATATGTGATTTCTCATTTAACGATTAGATACCAAATCATTATTGTGCTAGGGCACTCACATTTGGTAAAATAAAATGTGCGTGTTCTGGTTTATTCTTATTAATATCTAAAGTTAGATTTTGTTTGGAACTTTGTGAATACTGCTATTTCACCATTCCAATTTTTTTCTATGTGACTATTATGGTTCATTTTTTATGTTTATATATTTTAAAAGGCACCAATAGTTCCTCCCTAAGTATGATAAATGATTTTACACCATGGTTACCATATTTAGATATTATTGGAAGGAGGAAAAAATTAGAAGATACAGTTCTAGGTGTCTCCTAAACATATGGAGAATGCAAATGATTGTTGTGGTTTAGGGTGATAGAACCAGGCTTATGTCCATCATTGTTAGTAGTTCTGCTTTCTGAAAATCACACCCAAGTTAGAAATTTCCCAATAACTCTGTGGGTTTTGTAATGGGAGATTTTTCTAATCTTTTTGTAGCCTTGAAGAATTTAGAAGCACAGAGTCCTTCTTTTATTATTAGAAGGTAATAAATGGGTTCTTTTCTGATTTAATTTAGGGAAAGCCTCTGAAGGAAGCACAGTCAGAAATTGTCTATTCCGCCCTTTTCCTAGAGTGGTTTTCAGAGGAAGCGCGCCGCATTTATGGAGACATTATCTATACCTCGGCAAAGGACAAGCGGGCCCTGGTCCTCAAGCAGCCTATAGGTGTGGCTGCAATCATCACCCCGGTACGTGCCAGGATCAGCAAGATCCTAGGGTAGGAGATTGGGAAACGATTCATGCTTCCCCTGGGAGCCGGCGTGCTCATCCTGCTAGCTTTATTACCTGTTCTCCGTTTCCTGATTCCTCTGCTGGATTCAGAGCTGTGTTTCCTGGTCCTCTGTGATATGGTACGTGTGGTGGCAGCAAGTGGGAGGAATATTTGCTAATGCCTGGGAAAGTGGGATGACCCACAGGAGGACTCAGGCAGCTTTTCTGACTTGGCATGAAGGCTTCTCCCTGACATTGCACCTCTGAAAAGATCTTTTGGCATTTATCATTTTTAAAAGGACCTAAAATATGACATATTTTTTAATGTGCCATAGTTTAGAAAAAAATGCTTCATTTATGGTTATCAACAACAAAGCATGTGTGTATCTACCTGCGGGCTCTAGGCCAGATCCTGCAGGCTAAAAGGATAAGAAATGAGATATTGCATCTGTCTGGATGTGACTGCAACACATCTGTGGGTGCCCAGCTTCCTCTGTGGGTGACCAGTCTTTCTAGAACCTACCTTCTATGAGGTCCCATATTGACTTCTCTCCAGCGTCTGCCAGCTGATCTCAAGACTTCTGTTCTTTCCCTGCTCACTATAATTATAGATAGAATCCCCCTTACTGCCTGGACTTACTAGGTTTGGCTTGAAGCTTACCATATACTAGTTGTGTGACCTTGGGCAAGTGGCATAACTGTGTTGCCTCAGTTTTCCCAGACCTGCTCATGAGGATAATACCAACATTACTGGGTTGTGATAAGAATTTAACTAATTATAATTTTAAAGTGCTTGGAACAATACCAGAATAAGCACTACATATGTGTTTATCAAAATAAAATATTGTTTTTTACATGTGTAGATGTCTATAGATATCCATAAATATATATATAGAGGGACATAACAAATTATCTGCCATTTTCAGAATCACCATTGCTAATATTTTCTCCCAAGGGCCTCAAGCCAAATCCAGCCTACTGTCTGTGTTTATGAATAAAGTTTTATTGGGACACAGCCACGCCCATTCACATACATACCGGCTGCGGCTGTTTTCACGAGACAACTACAGAGTTGAGTAGCGACAGGAGCCGTATATCGTCCAAAGCCTAAAAGATGTACTGTATGGCTCTTCACACACACAAGAAAAGTTGGCTGACTCCAATCTAGATAATTTTACACAATGTTAAATCCTGAAAATATTTCCTGTCTTTATGAGCCTTTATCTCCCACGTCCCTCAAATTGGCTGGGGTCAGGTGTTTGGAGAATGCACCTGTGCAGCCAGAGAACAGGTTTGTCAGTCAGTGGTGCAATGGAATTTGTTGACTGACTTCCTAACCTGCCTTCCTTTGGACTACTGAGGCAGTCTTTCCTCTGACAAGCTTCCTCCGCTCTTCTGCCCTCAGTGGAACTTCCCCAGCGCCATGATCACCCGGAAGGTGGGGGCCGCCCTGGCAGCTGGCTGCACTGTGGTCGTGAAACCCGCGGAAGACACGCCCTTATCTGCGCTGGCCCTGGCCGAGGTGAGTGTCTCTCCCTGCGTTTGTACAGAGCCAACAAAGTCCAAAAATGGATGTTTTTATCCGGGACAGGAAGAAGCAGCTTTGGAGCCCCCTTCTTTGCCTCTGTCTGCTGCTGCATGGTGTTGTGTTTTAATCAGATGTTATTTTAAGTCAGATGTTGCTCTTTTCAGAAAAAAAACATGGATAGGGGATTTTCTGATATTTGTAGGCCATGTATTTTTTTAGCCCACCATAAAAATGGTGTCTATCCATCAAATAGGCACTGTCATCACATAGGCACTAGAATGTGGGCGTTTCTCACACGTAGGAAACCTCTTATTTACCACTCCCAACCCCAGTCCAATGTGCATTCCATCAGCTCTTGTCATTCTTCCGTGTGGAACTCCCAGATGGCTTCTCACATCACTTAGAGTAAAGGCCAGACTCCCTGCAGTGGCCCTCAAGGCCCTGTGAGATGTCACCCCCAACGCCAGTGCCCCTCTGACTGGCCCGTCCCTCCAGAGCCTCTTCGCTCATCACTCCGGCCCCATGCTGCTCCTGGGCCCCACCAGCCTCACCCTTGACTTGGGGCTTATTCTTTTCCCTCTGTCTTCCCCCAAACACTCCCATGACTTGCTTGTTCATGTCTTCTCTCAAATGCCACCTTCTCGGATAGGCCTTCCACGGCCACCTTATTTAAAAATCACAGCCTCTCTCTCTCGAATGCTCCTGATCCCCCTCTCTGCTTTGTGTTTCTCCCAGAGCACTTAACCCCACCTACCCTACCCTACCAGTGTTTCTAGGCCTTTTCGGTGGGCAGGGCTAGGGCATGTACAGTATGCACACACACACACACACACAGTAAAATACTGCATAAATTCCTATAGACACTTGGGATTCAAATTTAGTCTTACAGGGTTTTTACTTAACCTCTTTCTATTATACCCGCATCTCCTTTCTTCCTGGTTTCCAAGCATTCAGGGAATGACTGAATTATTAATATCCCATAGTTACTCATTACACACACCACAGCTCCTGAATATTAATTTTAATATCATCACCAATATGTCTACTAAAAATGGTTTAACTTTTCTGTATTTTCTCTCTCCATTCTCTTATTTTTACTAATAAACTTTTTATTTTAGAATAGTTTTACATTTACAGAAAAATTACAGAAATCAGTACAGGGGTTTCCCACATACACCACACTCAATGTCTCCTATTATTTGCATCTTACATTAGTATAGGGTACATTTGTTACAATTAATGAACCAATATTGATATATAATTACTAAGTCCATACTTTAAAAAATTCATTCTTGGGATTTTATTAGTTTTTACCTAATGTCCTTTTTATGTTTCAGGATCCCATCCAGGATACTACATTAAATTTAGTTGTCTTGTCTCCTTAAGGCTCTCTTGGCTGTGACAGTTTCCCCATATTTTAAAATAGGGTGGGTGCGGAGGCTCACGCCTATAATCCTGGGAGGCTGAGGCGGGAAGATACTTCTGGTTCTTAAATGTTGATGATAGTTTGCGCCCATTATGCTTATAAATCAGGGTTTTTAAAAAACTTTTTCTTTTTTTTTCTTTGAGACAGGGTCTCCCCCTGTAGCCCAGGCTGGTGTGCAGTGATATGACATAGTCCACTACAGCTTTGAACTCCTGGGCTCAAGCCATCCTCCTGCCTTAGCCTCCAGAGTAGCTGGGACTACAGGCCCACACCACCTCACTCAGCTAATTTTTATTTTTTATTTTTTGCAGAGGCAGAGTCTCACTATGCTACCCAGGCTGGTCTTGAACTCTTGGCCTCAAATTATCCTCCCACCTTGATTTCCCAAAGTTCTAGGATTATAGGCATGACCCACTGCACCATAAATTAATATTGCTGGTTATAAAATCCTTAGCTCTCCTTCCCTTCCCTTCCCTTCCCTTCCCTTCCCTTCCCTTCCCTTCCCTTCCCTTCC